AGACAGATGTCACAGACAGAGGCCACAGACAGATGTCACGGACAGATGCCACAGACAGATGCTACAGACAGAGGCCACAGACAGAGGCCACAGACAGATGTCACAGACAGAGGCCACGGACAGATGCCACAGACAGATGTCACAGACAGAGGCCACAGACAGAGGCCACGGACAGATGCTACAGACAGAGGCCACAGACAGAGGCCACAGACAGATGTCACAGACAGAGGCCACAGACAGAGGCCACGGACAGAGGCCACAGACAGATGTCACAGACAGAGGCCACAGACAGAGGTCACAGACAGAGGACACAGACAGATGTCACAGAAAGAGGCCACAGACAGATGTCACAGACAGAGGACACAGACAGATGTCACAGAAAGAGGCCACAGACAGATGTCACAGACAGAGGACACAGACAGAGGCCACAGACAGATGCCACAGACAGATGTCACAGACAGATGTCACAGACAGATGTCACAGACAGAGGCCACAGACAGATGTCACAGACAGAGGACACAGACAGAGGACACAGACAGAGGCCACAGACAGATGCCACAGACAGATGTCACAGACAGAGGACACAGACAGATGCCACAGACAGATGTCACAGACAGAGGCCACAGACAGAGGCCACAGACAGAGGACACAGACAGAGGACACAGACAGAGGCCACAGACAGAGGACACAGACAGAGGCCACAGACAGAGGCCACAGACAGATGCCACAGACAGATGTCACAGACAGAGGACACAGACAGATGTCACAGACAGAGGACACAGACAGATGTCACAGACAGATGTCACAGACAGAGGACACAGACAGATGCCACAGACAGAGGACACAGACCGATGTCACAGACAGAGGACACAGACAGTGGTCGGAGACACGTCTGTACTCAACAAGAGCAGGAAATAAAAACTGAGGTCTCTGTTTTTATTGTAGTACAGACATTTTTACTCAGAGGAAAAACAATCCTCTGATCGCTCACTTGGCCTTGAGACCAAAGCAATGAATCTGAAAGACTCATTATACATTTAACAACATTATTATTATAACGTTTATTTTTATTTACAAATTAGTTACAGGCAATTTTACAGCAGAGTAGGAAAGTATTAAATACTAGAAAAAAGAATATCGACACATTTACAAATACACAGTTCATCATGTGACATCACTTATGTATTAGAAATACTGTACAAGAGAAAGAACCGGGTAATGTGTCCACCAGAGGGAGCTGTCTGTGTCCTCTAGTGTCCACCAGAGGGAGCTGTCTGTCCTCTAGTGTCCACCAGAGGGAGCTGTCTGTCCTCTAGTGTCCACCAGAGGGAGCTGTCTGTCCTCTAGTGTCCACCAGAGGGAGCTGTCTGTCCTCTAGCGTCCACCAGAGGGAGCTGTCTGTCCTCTAGTGTCCACCAGAGGGAGCTGTCTGTCCTCTAGCGTCCACCAGAGGGAGCTGTCTGTTCTCTAGTGTCCACCAGAGGGAGCTGTCTGTCCTCTAGCGTCCACCAGAGGGAGCTGTCTGTTCTCTAGTGTCCACCAGAGGGAGCTGTCTGTCCTCTAGTGTCCACCAGAGGGAGCTGTCTGTTCTCTAGTGTCCACCAGAGGGAGCTGTCTGTTCTCTAGTGTCCACCAGAGGGAGCTGTCTGTCCTCTAGTGTCCACCAGAGGGAGCTGTCTGTTCTCTAGCGTCCACCAGAGGGAGCTGTCTGTTCTCTAGTGTCCACCAGAGGGAGCTGTCTGTCCTCTAGCGTCCACCAGAGGGAGCTGTCTGTTCTCTAGTGTCCACCAGAGGGAGCTGTCTGTGTCCTCTAGTGTCCACCAGAGGGAGCTGTCTGTCCTCTAGCGTCCACCAGAGGGAGCTGTCTGTGTCCTCTAGTGTCCACCAGAGGGAGCTGTCTGTGTCCTCTAGTGTCCACCAGAGGGAGCTGTCTGTCCTCTAGTGTCCACCAGAGGGAGCTGTCTGTCCTCTAGTGTCCACCAGAGGGAGCTGTCTGTGTCCTCTAGTGTCCACCAGAGGGAGCTGTCTGTCCTCTAGTGTCCACCAGAGGGAGCTGTCTGTCCTCTAGTGTCCACCAGAGGGAGCTGTCTGCTGTCCTCTAGTGTCCACCAGAGGGAGCTGTCTGTCCTCTAGTGTCCACCAGAGGGAGCTGTCTGTGTCCTCTAGTGTCCACCAGAGGGAGCTGTCTGTCCTCTAGTGTCCACCAGAGGGAGCTGTCTGTCCTCTAGTGTCCACCAGAGGGAGCTGTCTGTCCTCTAGTGTCCACCAGAGGGAGCTGTCTGTCCTCTAGTGTCCACCAGAGGGAGCTGTCTGTCCTCTAGTGTCCACCAGAGGGAGCTGTCTGTGTCTCTAGTGTCCACCAGAGGGAGCTGTCTGTGTCCTCTAGTGTCCACCAGAGGGAGCTGTCTGTCCTCTAGTGTCCACCAGAGGGAGCTGTCTGTGTCCTCTAGTGTCCACCAGAGGGAGCTGTCTGTGTCCTCTAGTGTCCACCAGAGGGAGCTGTCTGTCCTCTAGTGTCCACCAGAGGGAGCTGTCTGTCCTCTAGTGTCCACCAGAGGGAGCTGTCTGTCCTCTAGTGTCCACCAGAGGGAGCTGTCTGTCCTCTAGTGTCCACCAGAGGGAGCTGTCTGTGTCCTCTAGTGTCCACCAGAGGGAGCTGTCTGTCCTCTAGTGTCCACCAGAGGGAGCTGTCTGTCCTCTAGTGTCCACCAGAGGGAGCTGTCTGTTCACTAGTGTCCACCAGAGGGAGCCGTCTGTCCTCTAGTGTCCACCAGAGGGAGCTGTCTGTTCTCATGATCGAAATTACACCTTTTTGTCCAAACACAATTTTTTCAAACCTATACGTCTGTTTTTTTTAAAAAGAGGCTACAGCACCTGTAGGAGCCTACAGCACCTGTAAGAGGCTACAGCACCTGTAAGAGGCTACAGCACCTGTAGGAGGCTACAGCACCTGTAGGAGCCTACAGCACCTGTAGGAGCCTACAGCACCTGTAGGAGCCTACAGCACCTGTAGGAGGCTACAGCACCTGTAGGAGGCTACAGCACCTGTAAGAGCTACAGCACCTGTAGGAGCCTACAGCACCTGTAGGAGGCTACAGCACCTGTAGGAGCCTACAGCACCTGTAGGAGGCTACAGCACCTGTAGGAGGCTACAGCACCTGTAGGAGCTACAGCACCTGTAGGAGCCTACAGCACCTGTAGGAGGCTACAGCACCTGTAGGAGCTACAGCACCTGTAGGAGGCTACAGCACCTGTAGGAGGCTACAGCACCTGTAGGAGCTACAGCACCTGTAGGAGCCTACAGCACCTGTAGGAGGCTACAGCACCTGTAGGAGCTACAGCACCTGTAGGAGCTACAGCACCTGTAGGAGCCTACAGCACCTGTAGAAGAGCTACAGCACCTGTAGGAGCTACAGCACCTGTAGGAGCCTACAGCACCTGTAAGAGGCTACAGCACCTGTAAGAGGCTACAGCACCTGTAGGAGGCTACAGCACCTGTAGGAGCCTACAGCACCTGTAGGAGCCTACAGCACCTGTAGGAGCCTACAGCACCTGTAGGAGGCTACAGCACCTGTAGGAGGCTACAGCACCTGTAAGAGCTACAGCACCTGTAGGAGCCTACAGCACCTGTAGGAGGCTACAGCACCTGTAGGAGCCTACAGCACCTGTAGGAGGCTACAGCACCTGTAGGAGGCTACAGCACCTGTAGGAGCTACAGCACCTGTAGGAGGCTACAGCACCTGTAGGAGCTACAGCACCTGTAGGAGGCTACAGCACCTGTAGGAGGCTACAGCACCTGTAGGAGCTACAGCACCTGTAGGAGCCTACAGCACCTGTAGGAGGCTACAGCACCTGTAGGAGCTACAGCACCTGTAGGAGCTACAGCACCTGTAGGAGCCTACAGCACCTGTAGAAGAGCTACAGCACCTGTAGAAGAGCTACAGCACCTGTAGGAGCCTACAGCACCTGTAGGAGGCTACAGCACCTGTAGGAGGCTACAGCACCTGTAGGAGCTACAGCACCTGTAGGAGCTACAGCACCTGTAGGAGCTACAGCACCTGTAAGAGGCTACAGCACCTGTAGGAGGCTACAGCACCTGTAGGAGGCTACAGCAACTGTAAGAGGCTACAGCACCTGTAGGAGCCTACAGCACCTGTAGGAGCCTACAGCACCTGTAGGAGCCTACAGCACCTGTAGGAGCTACAGCACCTGTAAGAGGCTACAGCACCTGTAGGAGGCTACAGCACCTGTAGGAGGCTACAGCACCTGTAGGAGCCTACAGCACCTGTAGGAGCCTACAGCACCTGTAGGAGCTACAGCACCTGTAGGAGCTACAGCACCTGTAGAGGCTACAGCACCTGTAGGAGGCTACAGCACCTGTAGGAGGCTACAGCACCTGTAGGAGCCTACAGCACCTGTAGGAGCCTACAGCACCTGTAGGAGCCTACAGCACCTGTAAGAGGCTACAGCACCTGTAGGAGCCTACAGCACCTGTAGGAGCCTACAGCACCTGTAGGAGCCTACAGCACCTGTAGGAGCCTACAGCACCTGTAGGAGCCTACAGCACCTGTAAGAGGCTACAGCACCTGTAGGAGCCTACAGCACCTGTAGGAGCCTACAGCACCTGTAGGAGCCTACAGCACCTGTAGGAGCCTACAGCACCTGTAAGAGGCTACAGCACCTGTAGGAGCCTACAGCACCTGTAGGAGCTACAGCACCTGTAAGAGGCTACAGCACCTGTAGGAGGCTACAGCACCTGTAGGAGGCTACAGCACCTGTAGGAGGCTACAGCACCTGTAGGAGGCTACAGCACCTGTAGGAGGCTACAGCACCTGTAAGAGGCTACAGCACCTGTAAGAGGCTACAGCACCTGTAGGAGGCTACAGCACCTGTAGGAGCCTACAGCACCTGTAGGAGCCTACAGCACCTGTAGGAGGCTACAGCACCTGTAGGAGCTACAGCACCTGTAGGAGCCTACAGCACCTGTAGGAGCTACAGCACCTGTAGGTAGGTGGACCTGAAGTCTGTTCCGTGGGTGTTCTTGGCGTTGCAGGTGTAGATGCCAGAGTTGGTGAGAGACACGCGGTGAATCAGCAAAGTGCCGTCGTGCGTCATGTGCGCGCCGTGCTGCGTGCTGCGGCTGTGGGGGAGGGTGTTGCGGCTGTGGGGGAGAATGTTGCGGCTGTGGGTGAGAATGTTGCGGCTGTGGGGGAAGATGGTGCTGCTGCCGGGGAGCGTCCAGGACATCTGTGGCGTGGGGACGCCGTGCGCCGCGCAGCTCAGAGTCACCTGTGCTCCGCGGCTCACGCGGGTCACGGCGCTCAGAGAGCTGCTGATACGCGGCGAGTGCACGGCGACCGTCACGGCGTACGAGACCGAGGCGCGGCCATGGGCGTTTACCGCACTGCAGCTGTACGCACCTGTGTCCAACACAGCCGCACCGCGCAGCAGCAGCGTTCCGTTAGAGAAGACCGACACGCGGCTCTGAGGCGCCGACGTGCGGCTCTGAGGCGCCGACACGCGGCTCTGAGGCGCCGACACGTGGCTCTGAGGCGCCGACACGTGGCTCTGAGGCGCCGACGCGCTCCCTCCGTTGGGAAGCGTCCAGGAGACGGAGGGCGCGGGCCAACCGTCTGCTGCACACGGTAAGAGCAGCGCATCACCGAAGGACACCGTCACCGCACCTGAGGAGAAAGGATTAGTCATGTGAATACACACACACAGAGACACACACACAGACAGACACACAGAGACACACACAGAGACACACACACACAGAGACACACACACAGACAGACACACAGAGACACACACACACAGAGACACACACACACAGAGACACACACACAGAGACACAGACACACACAGACACACACACACAGAGACACACACACAGAGAGACACACACAGACACACACACACACAGAGACACACACACAGAGAGACACACACAGACACACACACACACAGAGACACACACACAGACACACAGAGAGACACACACAGAGAGACACAGACACACACAGAGACACACACACAGAGAGACACACACAGACACACACACACACAGAGACACACAGACAGAGAGACACACACAGACACACACACAGATAAATATAGCACCTTTAAGTTCAGTGGGTCTTAACCCTGTTCACCTGTGCCATATAAATAACCTTCACTGTTCCATATAAATAACCTTCACCTGTTCCATATAAATAACCTTCACTGTGCCATATAAATAACCTTAACCTGTTCCATATAAATAACCTTCACTGTGCCATATAAATAACCTTCACTGTTCCATATAAATAACCTTCACTGTTCCATATAAATAACCTTCACTGTTCCATATAAATAACCTTCACTGTTCCATATAAATAACCTTCACTGTTCCATATAAATAACCTTCACCTGTTCCATATAAATAACCTTCACTGTTCCATATAAATAACCTTCACTGTTCCATATAAATAACCTTCACTGTTCCATATAAATAACCTTCACTGTGCCATATAAATAACCTTCACTGTTCCATATAAATAACCTTCACTGTTCCATATAAATAACCTTCACTGTGCCATATAAATAACCTTCACTGTTCCATATAAATAACCTTCACCTGTTCCATATAAATAACCTTCACTGTTCCATATAAATAACCTTCACTGTGCCATATAAATAACCTTCACTGTGCCATATAAATAACCTTCACTGTGCCATATAAATAACCTTCACTGTGCCATATAAATAACCTTCACTGTGCCATATAAATAACCTTCACTGTTCCATATAAATAACCTTCACTGTGCCATATAAATAACCTTCACTGTTCCATATAAATAACCTTCACTGTTCCATATAAATAACCTTCACTGTGCCATATAAATAACCTTAACCTGTTCCATATAAATAACCTTCACCTGTTCCATATAAATAACCTTCACTGTTCCATATAAATAACCTTCACTGTGCCATATAAATAACCTTCACTGTTCCATATAAATAACCTTCACTGTTCCATATAAATAACCTTCACTGTGCCATATAAATAACCTTAACCTGTTCCATATAAATAACCTTCACCTGTTCCATATAAATAACCTTCACTGTTCCATATAAATAACCTTCACTGTTCCATATAAATAACCTTCACTGTGCCATATAAATAACCTTCACTGTTCCATATAAATAACCTTCACTGTTCCATATAAATAACCTTCACTGTGCCATATAAATAACCTTCACTGTGCCATATAAATAACCTTCACTGTGCCATATAAATAACCTTCACTGTTCCATATAAATAACCTTCACCTGTTCCATATAAATAACCTTCACTGTTCCATATAAATAACCTTAACCTGTTCCATATAAATAACCTTCACCTGTTCCATATAAATAACCTTCACTGTTCCATATAAATAACCTTCACTGTTCCATATAAATAACCTTCACTGTTCCATATAAATAACCTTCACTGTTCCATATAAATAACCTTCACTGTGCCATATAAATAACCTTCACTGTTCCATATAAATAACCTTCACTGTTCCATATAAATAACCTACACTGTGCCATATAAATAACCTTCACTGTGCCATATAAATAACCTTCACTGTGCCATATAAATAACCTTCACTGTTCCATATAAATAACCTTGACCTGCAGAGCTGTGGATGAGCGGCCGGCGTCCCGCCTGCAGGAGGTAGCGCTTCTCGGCGCGGCCCGCCACGTTCTGGACCAGACAGCGGTACACGCCGGCGTCCGTGGGCTGGGCCTGCAGGACGTGCAGTGAGCCGTTGGCGGCGTGGATGAAGCGCTGCAGCCGCGCAGCAGGGGGCAGCGTGGTGCCGTTCGGCAGCAGCCACAGCCGCTGGGGGCGGGGCTTCCCTCTCGCCGCACACTCCAGCCGCAGGGCCGAGCCGCGCTGCTGGAGCAACACCATTTCTACGTTCGGGAATTCGAAGCTGGGTTTCTCCGCCACGGCCGCCACCTCCACATCCACGCTCAGCGCCGCCTCCCCCAGGGCGTTCCTGGCGACGCAGGTGTAGCGGCCCTCGTCCTGGCGCCGCACGCCGCGCAGCTCCAAACTGCCGTTGCGGTGCACCTGGATCCTGCCGTCCAGGAAACCCGGCGCGTAAGTCTGAGCGAGCGGGTTTATCCACCAGACGCTGGCCTCAGGCTTGGCCGCCACGGCGCAGTCCAGCAGCGCCCTCTGGTACGACACCGCCGTGAGCATCTGCGAGCGCCGCCCCGCCTCACCGTTTATCAGCGGCGCCTGAGGCTCCATCTGCAGAGTCAGCGTCTGCGCAGAGCCGCTCGCCGCGCACACGTAGCTGCCTTCGTCTGAGAGCCGCAGGTTCCTGATGAGCAGAGCGCCGCGGTGGAGCAGCTCGTACTTCTGCGGCACGTTGGAGATGACTGCGTTGGCAGGAGATCTCCAGGTGCTGCGGGGCGCCGGCTCTCCCTCTGCGTCGCAGCTGAGCGTCACTGACTCTCCCAGACGACCCACGACCAGGGCTTGGTGCACCTTGGGGGCGGTGACGCTGACGCGGCGCTCGGCGGTGCCCAGCCGGTTGGTGGCGGTGCAGGTGTAGTCGCCTTCGTCGCTCTGGCTGATGCGGCGCAGCAGCAGCGTGCCGTTGGTGAAGATGACGTAGCGCCGCGTTCTGGAGCCGCTGACGTCTGATTGGAGCGTGTTGTTGATGGGCGTGCCGTCAGGAAGGCTCCACGAGACGGCGGGGTCCGGGAGACCTGAGGCCACACAGTCCACCTGCAGGGGGCGCCACAGACCATCAGGGAACCAGAACAGGACCATGTGGAGACTATGGACCCACATTTATAGTATTGAACATTCACTTTATAAAGAGGCTTTGACTTCGGTCTCTCTCTGGTCTCTCTCTCTGGTCTCTCTCTGGTCTCTCTCTGGTCTCTCTCTGGTCTCTCTCTGGTCTCTCTCTGGTCTCCCTTCGGTCTCTCTCTGGTCTCTCTCTGGTCTCTCTCTGGTCTCTCTCTGGTCTCTCTCTGGTCTCTATCTGGTCTCCCTTCGGTCTCTCTCTGGTCTCTATCTGGTCTCTCTCCGGTCTCTCTCCGGTCTCACTCTCTGGTCTCTCTCCGGTCTCTCTCTGGTCTCTCTCTGGTCTCTCTCCGGTCTCTCTCCGGTCTCACTCTCTGGTCTCTCTCCGGTCTCTCTCCTGGTCTCTCTCTGGTCTCTCTCCGGTCTCTCTCCGGTCTCACTCTCTAGTCTTTCTCTGGTCTCTCTCTCTGGTCTCTCTACGGTCTCTCTCTGGTCTCTCTCTGGTCTCTCTCTGGTCTCACTCTCTAGCCTTTCTCTGGTCTCTCTCTGGTCTCTCTCTGGTCTCTCTACGGTCTCTCTCCGGTCTCTCTCTGGTCTCTCTCTGGTCTCACTCTCTAGTCTTTCTCTGGTCTCTCTCTGGTCTCTCTCTGGTCTCTCTACGGTCTCTCTCTGGTCTCTCTCCGGTCTCTGTCTCTGGTCTCTCTCTGGTCTCTCTCTGGTCTCTCTCCGGTCTCTCTCGGGTCTCTCTCCGGTCTCTCTCTGGTCTCTCTCTGGTCTCTCTCTGGTCTCTCTCTGGTCTCTCTCCGGTCTCTCTCCTGTCTCACTCTCTGGTCTCTCTCCGGTCTCTCTCTGGTCTCTCTCCGGTCTCTCTCCTGTCTCACTCTCTGGTCTCTCTCCGGTCTCACTCTCTAGTCTTTCTCTGGTCTCTCGCTGGTCTCTCTCTGGTCTCTCTCTGATCCTTGGGTTCTCTCTGGTCTCTCTCTGGTCTCTCTCTGGTCTCTCTCTGGTCTCTCTCTGGTCTCTCTCTCCGGTCTCACTCTCTGGTCTCTCTCCGGTCTCTCTCTGGTCTCTCTCCGGTCTCTCTCCTGTCTCACTCTCTGGTCTCTCTCCGGTCTCACTCTCTAGTCTTTCTCTGGTCTCTCGCTGGTCTCTCTCTGGTCTCTCTCTGATCCTTGGGTTCTCTCTGGTCTCTCTCTGGTCTCTCTCTGGTCTCTCTCTGGTCTCTCTCTGGTCTCTCTCTGGTCTCTCTCTGGTCTCTCTCTGGTCTCTCTCTGGTCTCTCTCTGGTCTCTCTCTGGTCTCTCTCTGGTCTCTCTCTCTGGTCTCTCTCTGGTCTCTCTCTGGTCTCTCTCTCTGGTCTCTCTCTGGTCTCTCTCTGGGCTCTCTCTGGTCTCTCTCTGGTCTCTCTCTGGTCCTTGGTCTCTCTCTGGTCTCTCTCTGGTCTCTCTCTGGTCTCTCTCTGGTCTCTCTCTCTGGTCTCTCTCTGGTCTCTCTCTGGTCTCTCTCTGGTCTCTCTCTGGTCTCTCTCTGGTCTCCTTGGTTTCTCTCTGGTCTCTGGTCTGTACCTGGAAGTTGTCTCCCTCCGGACCTTTGGTGTGAGCCGCTCTGACATGTTGGATTGTGGGAGGAGTCATCAGGACCTCCACCTGAAGAACACAGCAGAAGTCTCTTCACACCGAGTACTAACATCGAAGAACACAGCAGAAGTCTCTTCACACCGAGTACTAACATTGAAGAACACAGCAGAAGCCTCTTCACACCGAGTACTAACATCAAAGAACACAGCAGAAGCCTCTTCACACCGAGTACTAACATCAAAGAACACAGCAGAAGCCTCTTCACACCGAGTACTAACATCAAAGAACACAGCAGAAGTCTCTTCACACCGAGTACTAACATCACAGAACACAGCAGAAGTCTCTTCACACCGAGTACTAACATTGAAGAACACAGCAGAAGTCTCTTCACACCGAGTACTAACATCGAAGAACACAGCAGAAGCCTCTTCACACCGAGTACTAACATCAAAGAACACAGCAGAAGTCTCTTCAGACTGAGTACTAACATCGAAGAACACAGCAGAAGTCTCTTCACACCGAGTACTAACATCGAAAAACACAACAGAAGTCTCTTCACACCGAGTACTAACATTGAAGAACACAGCAGAAGTCTCTTCACACCGAGTACTAACATCGAAGAACACAGCAGAAGTCTCTTCACACCGAGTACTAACATCGAAGAACACAGCAGAAGTCTCTTCACACCGAGTACTAACATCGAAGAACACAGCAGAAGTCTCTTCACACCGAGTACTAACATTGAAGAACACAGCAGAAGCCTCTTCACACCGAGTACTAACATTGAAGAACACAGCAGAAGCCTCTTCACACCGAGTACTAACATTGAAGAACACAGCAGAAGTCTCTTCACACCGAGTACTAACATCGAAGAACACAGCAGAAGTCTCTTCAGACTGAGTACTAACATCGAAGAACACAGCAGAAGCCTCTTCAGACTGAGTACTAGCATCGAAGAACACAGCAGAAGTCTCTTCACACCGAGTACTAACATCGAAGAACACAGCAGAAGTCTCTTCACACCGAGTACTAACATTGAAGAACACAGCAGAAGTCTCTTCACACCGAGTACTAACATCGAAGAACACAGCAGAAGTCTCTTCACACCGAGTACTAACATCGAAGAACACAACAGAAGTCCCTTCACACCGAGTACTAACATCGAAGAACACAGCAGAAGCCTCTTCACACCGAGTACTAACATCGAAGAACACAGCAGAAGCCTCTTCACACCGAGTACTAACATTGAAGAACACAGCAGAAGTCTCTTCACAGCGAGTACTAACATCGAAGAACACAGCAGAAGTCTCTTCACACCGAGTACTAACATTGAAGAACACAGCAGAAGTCTCTTCACACCGAGTACTAACATCAAAGAACACAGCAGAAGTCCCTTCACACCGAGTACTAACATCAAAGAACACAGCAGAAGCCTCTTCACACCGAGTACTAACATCGAAGAACACAGCAGAAGTCTCTTCAGACTGAGTACTAACATCGAAGAACACAGCAGAAGTCTCTTCAGACTGAGTACTAACATCGAAGAACACAGCAGAAGCCTCTTCACACCGAGTACTAACATCGAAGAACACAGCAGAAGTCTCTTCAGACTGAGTACTAACATCGAAGAACACAGCAGAAGTCTCTTCACACCGAGTACTAACATCGAATAACACAGCAGAAGTCTCTTCACACCGAGTACTAACATTGAAGAACACAGCAGAAGTCTCTTCACACCGAGTACTAACATCAAAGAACACAGCAGAAGCCTCTTCACACCGAGTACTAACACCGAAGAACACAGCAGAAGTCTCTTCAGACTGAGTACTAACATCGAAGAACACAGCAGAAGTCTCTTCACACCGAGTACTAACACCGAAGAACACAGCAGAAGTCTCTTCAGACTGAGTACTAACATCGAAGAACACAGCAGAAGCCTCTTCACGCCGAGTACTAACATCGAAGGCTCAGCCGCAAGACGTGTTAGAGGCCCGTGTCGCTCAGTGTGTCTGGAACAGAGGGATCATGAGCCAAACACTAAGGAGCACCTCTGAAGCATGAGGGATAAATGCGAGAACAGCTGCAGGTCTCTCTCCTGAACAGCTGCAGGTCTCTCTCCTGAACAGCTGCAGAATCTCTCTCCTAAACAGCTGCAGAATCTCTCACCTGAGGTCTCTCTCCTGACAGCTGCAGGTCTTGCTCATGAACAGCTGCAGGTCTCTCGTCTGAACCGCTGCAAGTCTCTCTCCTGACAGCTGCAGGTCTCGCTCATGAACAGCTGCAGGTCTCTCATCTAAACAGCTGCAGGATCTCATCCAAACAGCTGCAGGGTCTCTCTCCTGAACAGCTGCAGGTCTCTCACCTGAACCGCTGCAGGTCTCTCTCCTGACAGCTGCAGGTCTTGCTCATGAACAGCTGCAGGATCTCATCCAAACAGCTGCAGGGTCTCTCTCCTGAACAGCTGCAGGGTCTCTAACCTGAACAGCTGCAGCGTCTCTCTCCTGAACAGCTGCAGGTCTCTCTCCTGAACAGCTGCAGGTCTCTCACCTGAACCGCTGCAGGGTCTCTCTCCTGAACAGCTGCAGGGTCTCATCTGAACAGCTGCAGGGTCACTCTCCTGAACAGCTGCAGCGTCTCTCTCCTGAACAGCTGCGAGTCTCTCTCCTGACTAGCTGCAGGGTCTCTCTCCTGAACAGCTGAAGGTCTCTCTCCTGAACAGCTGCAGAGTCTCTCACCTGGAATAGCTACAGGGTTTCTCACCTGGAATAGCTGCAGGGTCTCTCACCTGGAATAGCTGCAGGGTCTCTCACCTGGAATAGCTGCAGGGTCTCTCACCTGAGCAGCTGCAGAGTCTCTCACCTGGAATAGCTGCAGAGTCTCTCACCTGGAATAGCTGCAGGGTCTCTCACCTGAATGAGCAGCTGCAGGGTCTCTCACCTGGAATAGCTGCAGGGTCTCTCACCTGGAATAGCTGCAGGGTCTCTCCATGGTCTCGGCTGAACACACAGCTGTAGCTCCCTGCGTCGGTCTCTGTGAGCTGAAGGATCCGCAGGGTTCCGTTTCTGAACACTCTGACGGGACGCTCCAGACTGGGGACATAGGACTCGGACTAAGGGTGGGTCTTGGTCTGGTCTGGTCCCGGTTTTGGTCTGGTCTGGTCCCGGTCTTACCGGTGACTGTAGTCCAGGTCGGCTCTCACCTGTGTCTGTAGTCCAGGTCTGTAGTCCAGGTCTGGTCACACCTGTGTCTGTAGTCCAGGTCTAGTCTCACCTGTGTCTGTAGTCCAGGTCTGGTCTCACCTGTGTCTGTAGTCCAGGTCTGGTCACACCCGTGTCTGTAGTCCAGGTCTGTAGTCCAGGTCTGGTCACACCTGTGTCTGTAGTTCAGGTCTGGTCTCACCTGTGTCTGTAGTCCAGGTCTAGTCTCACCTGTGTCTGTAGTCCAGGTCTGGTCTCACCTGTGTCTGTAGTCCAGGTCTGGTCTCACCTGTGTCTGTAGTGTGTCTGTAGTCCAGGACCTCTCGGTTTGGGAGGGTCCACACAGTTCCTCTCTTGGAGCCTGTGGACTCAGGACAGTGCAGATAGACCACAGAGCCATACATCGCAGGGACAGGGTGTGGCCTGGAGGGGGCGCTGTGAGGGGGGAGAGGGACAGGGTGTGGCCTGGAGGGGGCGCTGTGAGGGGGGAGAGGGACAGAGTGTGGCCTGGAGGGGGCGCTGTGAGGGGGGAGAGGGACAGGGTGTGGCTTGGAGGGGGCGCTGTGAGGGGGGAGAGGGGGAGCAGTGGCTGATGGGTAATCTGCAGACACCTCCACATGAACTGTGCGTCTGGAAACACCAACCGGGTTCGACACCAAGCACTCGTATCTGAGAAAAAAAACAAACACAGCTGTAGCACCTCCTCCAAACACCACTGTAGCACCTCCTCCTCTAAACACAGCTGTAGCACCTCCTCTAAACACAGCTGTAGCACCTCCTCTAAACACAGCTGTAGCACCTCCTCCTCCAAACACAGCTGTAGCACCTCCTGCAAACACAGCTGTAGTAACTACCTCCCGGCAGCAGAGGGCGCCACATCCCTCATGTACAGGGTGCCGTTGGGGAACACAAAGATGGTACGTCCTACGAATTGCGAAGGTTTGATTGACAGGCCTCCAGGGAGAGTCCACTTCAGAGAGGGGGGGGGCTCGCCTCGGGCCGAGCAGTGGACCAGCCCACTGTGGCCTGAACACAGAAAGAACAAGAGAAAATTGAGGTCTCTCTCTGGTCTCACTCTCTGGTCTCACTCTCTGGTCTCTCTCTCTGGTCTCACTCTCTGGTCTCACTCTCTGGTCTCACTCTCTGGTCTCACTCTCTGGTCTCACTCTCTGGTCTCACTCTCTGGTCTCACTCTCTGGTCTCACTCTCTGGTCTCTCTCTCTGGTCTCACTCTCTGGTCTCACTCTCTGGTCTCACTCTCTGGTCTCACTCTCTGGTCTCACTCTCTGGTCTCACTCTCTGGTCTCTCTCTGGTCTCACTCTCTGGTCTCTCTCTCTGGTCTCTCTCTGGTCTATCTCTCTGGTCTCTCTCTGGTCTCTCTCTCTGGTCTCTCTCTGGTCTCTCTCTGGTCTCTCTCCCTGGTCTCTCTCTGGTCTCTCTCTCTGGTCTCTCTCTGGTCTCTCTCTGGTCTCTCTCTGGTCTCCCTCTCTGGTCTCTCTCTCTGGTCTCTCTCTGGTCTCTCTCTCTGGTCTCTCTCCGGTCTCACTCTCTGGCCTTTCTCTGGTCTCTCTCTCTGGTCTCTCTCTGGTCTCTCTCTGATCCCTCTCTCTGGTCTCTCTCTGGTCTCTCTCTGGTCTCTCTCTGGTCTCTCTCTGGTCTCTCTCTGGTCTCTCTCTGGTCTCTCTCTGGTCTCTCTCTGGTCTCTCTCTGGTCTCTCTCTGGTCTCTCTCTGATCCCTCTCTCTGGTCGGTCTCTGATCCCTCTCTCTGGTCTCTCTCTGGTCTCTCTCTGGTCTCTCTCTGGTCTCTCTCTCTGGTCTCTCTCTGGTCTCTCTCTCTGGTCTCTCTCTGGTCTCTCTCTGGTCTCTCTCTGGTCTCTCTCTGGTCTCTCTCTGGTCTCTCTCTGGTGTCTCTCTGGTGTCTCTCTGGTGTCTCTCTGGTCTCTCTCTGGTCTCTCTCTGGTCTCTCTCTGGTGTCTCTCTGGTCTCTCTCTGGTCTCTCTCTGGTCTCTCTCTGGTCTCTCTCTGGTGTCTCTCTGGTCTCTCTCTGGTGTCTCTCTGGTGTCTCTCTGGTCTCTCTCTGGTGTCTCTCTGGTGTCTCTCTGGTGTCTCTCTGGTGTCTCTCTGGTCTCTCTCTGGTCTCTCTCTGGTCTCTCTCTGGTCTCTCTCTGGTGTCTCTCTGGTCTCTCTCTGGTCGGTCTCTGATCCCTCTCTGGTGTCTCTCTGGTCTCTCTCTGGTGTCTCTCTGGTGTCTCTCTGGTGTCTCTCTGGTGTGTACCAGTGTGAATGGTCATGGTGTCGTCCTCCTTCTCCTTGATGGTTGGGGGTAGTGCCGTCACATACACCTGGTGTGTGACTGAGTCTGCCCCTGCGGCGTTGCTGGAGATGCACTTGTATTCTCCTGAACTGGAGAAGTTTACAGAACGGAGCAGGAGCGTCCCGTTGGCGAGCAGGACCACAGGGGACGGGGACGCCACCGGGGACGCCAACGGGGACGCCAACGGGGACGCCAACGGGGACGCCAACGGGGACGCCAACGGGGACGCCAACGGGGACGCCAGAGCAGAGGCAAATGCTGAAAAGAATTACAGTCGTTTAGATTCATGAACTCATGTGACCAGAGAGAGACCAGAGAGAGACCAGAGAGAGACCAGAGAGAGACCAGAGAGAGACCAGAGAGAGAGAGACCAGAGAGAGACCAGAGAGAGAGACCAGAGAGAGACCAGAGAGAGACCAGAGAGAGACTAGAGAGAGAGAGACCAGAGAGAGACCAGAGAGAGAGACCAGAGAGAGACCAGAGAGAGACCAGAGAGAGACTAGAGAGAGAGAGACCAGAGAGAGACCAGAGAGAGAGACCAGAGAGAGACCAGAGAGAGACCAGAGAGAGAGACTAGAGAGAGAGAGACCAGAGAGAGACCAGAGAGAGACCAGAGAGAGAGACCAGAGAGAGAGACCAGAGAGAGACCAGAGAGAGAGACCAGAGAGAGAGACCAGAGAGAGAGACCAGAGAGAGACCAGAGAGAGAGACCAGAGAGAGAGACCAGAGAGAGAGACCAGAGAGAGAGGGACCAGAGAGAGAGGGACCAGAGAGAGGGACCAGATAGAGACCAGAGAGAGACTAGAGAGAGAGAGACCAGAGAGAGAGACCAGAGAGAGACCAGAGAGAGAGACCAGAGAGAGAGACCAGAGAGAGAGACCAGAGAGAGAGACCAGAGAGAGAGACCAGAGAGAGAGGGACCAGAGAGAGGGACCAGATAGAGACCAGAGAGAGACCAGAGAGAGACCAGAGAGAGACCAGAGAGAGACCAGAGAGAGACCAGAGAGAGACCAGAGAGAGACCAGAGAGAGACCAGAGAGAGAGACCAGAGAGAGACCAGAGAGAGAGACCAGAGAGAGACCAGAGAGAGAGACCAGAGAGAGACCAGAGAGAGACCAGAGAGAGAGAGACCAGAGAGAGACCAGAGAGAGACCAGGTGTAGTTTCTAGGCCCGTACACTTGGTGGAGCTGAAGTCCACGTCTCTCACAAAGCTGAGGTCTGGGAGGATCCATGAGACCTGAGGCCGCGGCCGCCCTGAGGCAGAGCAGTGCAGCGCAGCGCTCTGTCCCAGGTACAGGGTCAGAGGGTCTGAACCAGGACGAGTCTGGATCCTGGGGGCCTCAGTCTGAACCGTGAGGGAGACCAGGCCGCGATCCGAGCCCCAGAGGTTCTGAGCCGTGCACAGGTACTGCCCGCGGTCCTGCAGCGTCACAGACCGGATCACAAAGGAACCGTTCAGGAAGACCTCCAACCTGGGACCGTGTCTGGACCCAGCCGGGACCGTGGCTCCTGCAGAAGAAAAGCACACCTTCATCTAAAGCAGGTCTAAAGCAGGTCTAAAGCAGGACTAACTAAAGCAGGACTAAAGCAGGACTAAAGCAGGACTAAAGCAGGTCTAAAGCAGGTCTAAAGCAGGTCTAAAGCAGGACTAAAGCAGGTCTAAAGCAGGTCTAAAGCAGGTCTAAAGCAGGTCTAAAGCAGGTCTAAAGCAGGACTAAAGCAGGACTAAAGCAGGACTAAAGCAGGTCTAAAGCAGGTCTAAAGCAGGTCTAAAGCAGGACTAAAGCAGGACTAAACTAGGACTAAAGCAGGTCTAAAGCAGGACTAAAGCAGGTCTAAAGCAGGTCTAAAGAAGGACTAAAGCAGGTCTAAAGCAGGACTAAAGCAGGACTAAAGCAGGACTAAAGCAGGACTAAAGCAGGTCTAAAGCAGGTCTAAAGCAGGTCTAAAGCAGGTCTAAAGCAGACTGACTCTCTCTCCTCCTCATTCTGAAGTCCTCCCGCTCCTGAAGCTGGTCTCAGGTTTCTCGTTTCATAATTTTTGCGATTAAATGTTTCCTCTCATAAAAAGTAGCAGTCTTTGGGACATAAACGATTTAACTGTGGCCCCGGGGAAAGAAAAGTATTAGAATGAACCCAGAGAGAAGAGAGAGCTCTGAGGAGGAGAGGACTGTTCTCTCTAATCTTTAGAAGACTCTCTCTCTCTCTCAGGTCCCTCTCTGGTCTGTCTCTGGTCTCTCTCAGGTCTCTCTCTGGTCTCTCTAAGGTCTCTCTCGGGTCCCTCTCTGGTCTGTCTCTGGTCTGTCTCTGGTCTCTCTCTGGTCTCTCTCTCTGGTCTCTCTCTGGTCGCTCTGGTCTCTCTCTGGGCTCTCTCTGGTCTCTCTCTGGGCTCTCTCTGGTCTCTCTCTCTGGTCTCTCTCGGGTCTCTCTCTGGTCTCTCTCTAGTCTCTCTCTCTGGTCTCTCTCTGGTCTCTCTCTGGTCTCTCTCTCTGGTCTCTCTCTGGTCTCTCTCTGGTCTCTCTCTGGTCTCTCTCTGGTCTCTCTCTCTGGTCTCTCTCTGGTCTCTCTCTGGTCTCTCTCTGGTCTCTCTCTGGTCTCTCTCTGGTCTCTTTCTGGTCTCTCTCTGGTCTCTCTGACGTACGACACCACAGACCCTGATTCCAGACCCGGGATGAGGCGTCCGACACCACAGACCGTGGATTACCAAAGGCATCATAAACGCATGTAAAAAGAAAAACCTTCTTTATAAATTATCCCTAAAATCCAGGACGGAAGAAGCTGTCAAAGGATATAAAATATATAAAAATAAGTCAATAAATATAATAAGAACCTGTGAAAAAGATTATAATAATAAAAGATTGGAGCAGAATAAAAACAACATTCGAGGTACATGGAAAATAATAAATGGTTTACTCAAAAAAGATCATAAAGACATACTGTAGCAGATGCATTCAACGCTTTTTTGGTACATGTCGGAGCCACTCTCGCCAAAACAATTCCTCCACCGTTAGAGGACCATGAGGTCAATACTATGAACGTACAGAGGGATGTCTTTCTACATGAGATGTGTGGAGGAAAATGAAATGGTTAACATTGTGAGCAAATGTAAAGTTTCCATCTGAAACGTATCATTCATTGTTTCAGCCTTTACTTTGTTATCAGTCCTTTCTCACAATCTTAAGTTATGGAAAAGTCATTTATAACTCGGTTAGATGATTTCTGCAGTAAGCACAACATTATGAGCGACTACCAGTTTGGTTTCAGATCAAACCGATCTGTGGCGGTCATGGAGCTGGTAGAAGCAATCTCAACTGCCACAGACAAATGCGAGTATCCAGATGGAGTTTTTATCAATCCGAGCAAAGCCTTTGATACCAGCAATCACGATTTATTATGAGCCAAAATGGAACGCTGTGGTGTCCGAGGATTTGCTCACGACTGGTTAAAAACTATCTTACAGGGATCAATATGTTACGGTCAATAATGTGAATTCAGATAAAAACCGAAGCACACACGGAGTCCCACAGGGCTCAGTCCTTGGGCCCAAACTGTTTCAGTTGTACATTAACGACATCGGTGAGGTCCTCAGAAGTATGCAGTGTGTTCTGTTTGCAGACGGCACCAGTCTCTACTGTTCAGGACAACATCTTGAGCAGCTTATGGAAATACATACAATAATACAATAAATGATCAATGAACGTGAGCAAAACTAAATACATTATCTTTGGTAATACAAAAATTGGCATTCCATCCATCCATTTTCTTCCACTTCATCCGTTGCCGGGTCGCGGGGGCAGCAGTCTAAGCAGAGACGCCCAGACTTCCCTATCCACACACACTTCCTCCAGCTCGTCCGGGGGGACCCCAAGGCGTTCCCAGGCCAGCTGAGAGACATAGTCCCTCCAGCGTGTCCTAGGTCTTCCCCGGGGCCTCCTCCCGGTGGGACGTGCCCGGAACACCTCCCCAGGGAGGCGTCCAGGAGGCATCCGGAACAGATGCCCGAGCCACCTCAACTGGTTCCTCTCGACGTGGAGAAGCAGCGCCTCTACTCCGAGCTCCTCCCGTGTGACTGAGCTCCTCACCTTATCTCTAAAGCCTAGCGTACAGAGAAACTGGAGACAACTAGTTGAAGGCGGCTTTTGACAACTGAGAGGAGATGATGAAGATGATCAGTTGAAATCGGTCGATGTGAGCGCTCTTACAACTGGAGATGAACAGTCGGTCTCCAGTTTCAGTCAGTTGCCCGTGTTCTACTTTTCGGCAACTAGTTGTCCTCAGTTTCGGAGATATGACCCGATGTGCGCGCTCCATGCGCCGCTCCGACAACGTGTGTGTATTGCGTGTATTATTGTGTACCGCTTGTATCCGCGATCTCGTTCTTTCGGTCATTACCCAAATGTAACCGGTCCCTGGGTTAACTAGACTTTTTTTCAACAAGAGAGAACATCAATTTGCTAGATCAGAAGAGCTAGGTATCGGCTCTGGGAGTGAGTGAAGCATACACAAGACAGTCTTTTGGGTTTTGTTGGTACCATATATTGCACACACATAAGACAAGGACACAGAGAGAACATTTACCCCACAACCCAACCCCAGTGAATGGCCATACGATATATACAAAGTCCAGTTCCAATGCAACAAAAGTCACAAATGCAACAAAAGTTCAAGCGGTATTCCAATAGTCCATTCAGTGCTTATTTCCCTGAGAGCGAAAATATTCCACACAGCGCGGAACACGGTTGGACGCGGACGCCACGGACCGAGGCACCCGAGGAAGAGTTGAGGTTATGAAAATTAAAGAAGGCGGCTGCAGGAGCCTCCTACCCGTCCTGCTCAGAGCAGGTGAAGTTCCGCTGACTCCTGAGTCCCAAGAGGACAATGTGGACCCCTTGTGGAGAGCCCAGTGGAGTTAAGCGAGATGATGACTCCAATAGTTCAGGTCTCTAGCTCGCCATCTGAGAAGGCCTAGTCCCGAACTTCTGCCTTACTCGCTCTGAGAAGTAGCACGGATCCAGTCCTCGGCTCCTGCAGCAATTCACCCTCCCAGCTTCAACCTCGCGTTACCGGTGTGTGTGCTACTGCCGGCATATAAGCCAATGAGAGTATAGCGCACCGTCACGTGACGCGGAGATGCATTCAATTCAATATAATACTAATTATTACAATGCTCAATACAATTATCAATATAATACTTTTTTTTTTATTTGATCTAAGAAGGGAATAAACTCACAGGGTTTTCTACCTGGGTTACACAAAGCTCATGACCATAGGTGAGGGAGGGAACAGGTAAATCGAGAGCTTTGCCTTTCGGCTCAGCTCCCTCTTTACCACAACGGTCCGATACAGCTCTGACTGCAGACGCTGCTCCCTCTTTACCACAACGGTCCGATACAGCTCTGACTGCAGACGCTGCTCCCTTTACCACAACGGTCCGATACAGCGACCGCATCACTGCGCACGCTGCACCGATCCGCCTGTCAATCTCACGCTCCATCCTTCCCTCACTTGTGAACAAGACCCTGAGATACTTGAACTCCTCCACTTGAGGAAGGACCTCTCCACCCACCTGCAGAGGGCAAGGCACCTTTTTCCAGTCGAGCACCATGGCCTCAGATTTGGAGGTGCTGATTCTCATCCCAGCCGCTTCACACTCGGCTGCAAACCGTCCCAGTGCATGTTGTAGGTCCTGGTTCGTTGGAGCCAACAGGACAACATCGTCTGCAAACAGCAGAGATGAAATCCTGTGGTCTCTGAACCGGCATTGGCATTCCGATCGAATTAAATATAGATCAAATTGAACTAGAAATGGTACAATGGCTGAAGCCATTGTGAGTGGCTGCATAGATGTTGGAAGGGTTAGGGAAGAAGAAGGAAAGGAAGAAAGAAGGAAGAAAAGGGAAGAAGAGGAAAGAAGAAGAAGGGGAAGAAGAAGAAGATGGAGAAGGGGAAGAAGGAGAAGAAGGGGAAGAAGGGGAAGAAGAGGAAGAAGGAGAAGGGGAAGAAGGAGAAGAAGGGGAAGAAGACTAAGTAACAAGAATGTGTTGTAAAGTGCTAAATGTGTTGTAAGGTGCTGTACGCTTATGATACACTTATTATAGACTTATTATAGACTCATTATACACTTATTATAGACTCATTATACACTTATTATACACTCATTATACACTCATTATAGACTTATTATAGACTTATTATAGACTTATAATAGACTTATTATAGACTTATTATAGACTCATTATATCCTGTACATGTGTTATAAATGTCGGTATTAATCCTGCATATACCATTATAACATGTCTGTTGTGAAGGATGTCCAAGGAGACGCACAAAGATGACGTCATGGACGCGCCTCCTTTGGGAGACAATAAAAGCACAAGCCGCGAGAGAATCGATCTCTTGGGAAATCCCTGTAATCAATGTAACAACCTGGATACGTGTCTCCTACGCGATCCTCGGCCTGTAACCAACTCTTAGGCCTCTCACCCTCCACGAGGACAGCGAACCACTCGCTGTCGGAGACCACGAACTACTCCATCACCAGCCATTTTCCGGCTCTCTGGACGGTCCACACGCAACGCTATTCTAGACGGCGTATGTGTGTCGGGAATCAAAAGTTTGGATCCGATCTGCTGGCCTTCGTCTCCCTCCTGCTCGAACAAAGGAACACGTGGACTGCCCATTCCCTTTGCTTTTCTTGATTCACATGATATGTTTAACATCTCTGTTTAATGTGACCAAACCCCTCCTCGTTGATATTTTTCTATTTTCATATGTAGTCAATAAACCCACAATAACTTAAATCATCGTTTAAGCGTCCTGTTTCCAATCTTTTGATATCCCTGGCTGATTTCGTACTCAGAACCTATCAGATTTATAAGACTGATCGAGGCAGATTAATTGGATCTGTTGCAGACTTTCACTGTTTGCTGGTGCCCAAATAAAATAAATTCAGATCCCCTTTGTGTGGAACGGCGAGACTGATCTGGAGACTAGCCGCTCCACACTACAATTTTCTTACCCTACACATTCGATTCCATGGGCAGGACACTTGGGTCAGGCAAAGACATTTTCTAGAATGGTCCCCAGATTTTATTGGCCTCAGCAATACTCGGACACAGTTAAGTACTGTCAGTCATGTCCAGAGTGTCAGTTGACAGCCCCAAGTAAGAAGGGAGATAGGGTTCCCCTAATTAGCATGCCAATCATTGACACACCCTTTTCCCGGATTGCCATGGACATTGTGGGTCCCCTGGAGCGTAGCGCTGCCGGACATCGCTATATCCTGGTGTTGTCGGACTATGCTACAAGATATCCGGAGGCATTTCCACTCAAGAAGATCAAAGCCCGCCAAATTGTCACCTGCCTCATCCAACTTTTCTCTAGAGTTGGCATCCCAAAAGAGATAATCACAGACCAAGGAACGAACTTCACTTCCACACTTCTGAAACAAGTCTACGCTCTACTGGGAATACAAGGCATCAAGACAAGTCCATATCATCCACAGACTGATGGACTTGTCGAACGGTTCAATAAGACTCTGAAATCGATGCTGAGAAAGTTTGTCTCAGATTCAGGCTCTGACTGGCACGAGTGGCTTCCATTTCTACTATTTGCATACAGAGAAGTTCCACAAACCTCCACCGGGTTCTCACCATTCCAGCTTCTCTATGGACACTCCGTTCGAGGGCCTCTGGACGTTCTAAAAGAAGCATGGGAGGGGCCAAATCCAGAGCAAGGATGCAGTGAAGTTTCTTATGTGCTGAAAATGAGAGACAAGCTGGAGCACTTCAAAGAGCTTGCCTGCAGCAACCTGGCACAAGTACAAGAGAGACAAAAGCACAATTATGACAAGTCATCCAAGAGAAGATCATTCGAGGTTGGCCAGAAAGTCTTACTGTTATTGCCAACATCAGAGAGTGGTCTATTGGCTAAATGGCAAGGCCCATATGAGATTCATCAGAAGACTGGACCAGTAAACTATGAACTTTTCTTGCCAGATCGCCGGAAAAAGTATCAAGTTTTCCACATCAATCTGCTAAAGGAGTGGGTCGACCGTCCAGACCAGCGTTCATTACTGGCACGAGGGGTTGCAGATGAGGAGGAACTTCCGGAGCAGTACTTTCCATCGTCAGCAGAGACACAAGTGTTCCCTGATGTGAGTCACTTGAGCACTAGCCAACGAATGGACCTGCAAAGGTACATGACAGATGAACTTTTTAGCACAAGACCTGGTTGTACTCATCTCATTGAACACCAGATCCGCTTACGTTCATCAGAGCAACAGCCAATCAGAGACACCACCTGCCGAATTCCTGCTAAACTCATTCCAGAGTTAAAGAATGAAGTGGAAGAGATGTTGCAAATGGGCATTATTGAACCATCTCGCAGTGAGTGGTGCAGCTCTGTAGTCTTAGTTCCCAAGAAAGACAATCCCAAGCACAGATTCTGTGTGAACTTTGCAAAGTTGAATGCTGTGTCTGCATTTAATCCCTACCCAATGCCAAGGGTAGATGAGCTCATCGAACGACTGGGACATGCAACCTACTTGACCACCCTTGATCTCTGCAAGGGGTATTGGCAAGTGCCCCTTGTCAAATCTTCAAGAGACTTCACAACGTTCCGAGTGCCCAGTGGACTTTTCAGGTTCCGGATGATGCCCTTTGGTCTACATGGAGCGCCGGCGACATTCCAACGTCTCGTCGACGAGGTGCTGAGGGGAGCCGAGGCCTACGCTGCTGCTTACATCGACGACATTGTGATCTTCAGCCAGTCTTGGGAGGAGCACCGACAGCATTTTTCAGATGTCTTCAGGCGGATCCAGGAAGCGGGCCTCGTCATAAACGCCAAGAAGTGTCACATCGCCAAGCCTGAGGTGCAGTACTTGGGCTATGTCATAGGAGCTGGGGGTATCCATCCGCAGGTTGGTAAAGTGGAGGCCATTGCCACCACCGCACTTCCTAATACCAAGAGACGACTGAGATCCTTCTTGGGGTTAGTGGGTTGGTACCGGCGCCTCATCCCAGACTTTGCTACCAGATCAGCATCTTTGTCTGATATGACTTGTAAAGTTAGCCCAGTGAAGGTTAATTGGACTCCTGAAACCATACATGCTTTTAATGACCTGAGAGACTGTTTATGTCAAGAGCCAGTTTTGCAGTGTCCCGATTTTGACCTTCCCTTTACAGTCCAAACTGATGCTTCAGAGGTAGGGCTAGGTGCAGTGTTATTGCAAGGGGAGGAGGGTAACCAACTACCTGTGCAATACATTAGTCGTAAGCTCTTTCCCCGTGAGAAGAGATACTCTACGATTGAGAAAGAAGCTCTAGCCGTAAAATGGGCTTTAGACACTCTCAAATACTATCTTATAGGTAAGGAGTTTGTTTTAGAGACTGACCATCGTGCACTCCAGTGGATCCATAAAATGAAGGACACTAATGCTCGTATTACTAGATGGTATTTATCTCTACAACCATTTTGCTTTCAGATCCAGTACAAACCCGGTAATAAGAACATTATTGCAGATTTCCTGTCCCGTGACTCGGAGGAGTAACGGTCTTAAGAGGGGGGGTGTGTGACGAAGCAGGCCACTTCGTCCCATATTTTTCCTATTTTGACAGCTTATTTCATTTGTTCACATTCATTTGCTTTACTATGTTATCTGCTATGAGATAGTTTCTTTAACACTCACCTTTTGAGTTGGAGCTATACTCACCTCACCACATGGTCCATGCAAAGAGGAGGCGTGCCCTTCATCGGCCATTTTTGTAGGCTGTGGGAGGGTCTTTGGACCAGACCATGTGGATGGGGGAGGTTTGGGATTTTGGGTTTGTTTAACAAGTTGTTTGTTGTTTTGTTTCAATTATGTAGTGTTTATAGGTTTAGTTAGACATTACTTTGAAACCGGAGAGGAAACCTGCTAGGGAGGGACATAATTGTATAGTTTACATTGTATGGAGTTAGAGATCACCCCTGTGAGTGATAGTACAGCCTAGTGGGAGGTCTTAGGGGGGTATATAAGAGCTGAAGAGTCAGTCAGAGGGGGTTGACCACCAGTGTAGCCAGGTACACGTGGGTTTGTTTCAGTTTCATTACTTTCTGTTTCTTTGTTTGTTTTGAAGCAGTTTTTGTATATTTTGTATATATGTTGCCACGAGTCACCTTGGTTATTTTTTAAAATAAATTTTGGGTTTTGGGAACTTTCTCGTGTGCCTCCTGCTTGACCCTTTGGCCAGCTTCCCCACAGATTTATTATAGACTTATTATACACTTATTATACACTTATTATACACTTATTATACACTTATTATAGACTTATTATAGATTTATTATAGACTTATTATAGACTTATTATAGACTTATTATACATTTATTATAGACTTATTATAGACTTATTATAGACTTATTATAGACTTATTATAGACTTATTATAGACTTATTATACACTTATTATAGACTTATTATAGACTTATTATAGATTTATTATACACTTATTATACACTTATTATAGACTTATTATAGACTTATTATAGTCTTATTATACACTTATTATAGACTTATTATAGACTTATTATAGACTTATTATAGACTTATTATAGACTTATTATAGACTTATTATAGACTTATTATACACTTATTATACACTTATTATAGACTTATTATAGACTTATTATAGACTTATTATAGACTTATTATACTTATTATAGACTTATTATAGACTTATTATAGACTTATTATAGACTTATTATAGACTTATTATAGACTTATTATAGACTTATTATAGACTTATTATAGACTTATTATACACTTATTATAGACTTATTATAGACTTATTATAGACTTATTATACACTTATTATAGACTTATTATAGACTTATTATAGACTTATTATAGACTTATTATAGACTTATTATACACTTATTATAGACTTATTATAGACTTATTATAGACTTATTATAGACTTATTATAGACTTATTATAGACTTATTATAGACTTATTATAGACTTATTATAACTTATTATACACTTATTATACACTTATTATAGACTTATTATAGACTTATTATACACTTATTATACACTTATTATACACTTATTATAGACTTATTATAGACTTATTATAGACTTATTATAGACTTATTATAGACTTATTATAGACTTATTATAGACTTATTATAGACTTATTATAGACTTTTATAGACTTATTATAGACTTATTATAGACTTATTATAGACTTATTATAGACTTATTATAGACTTATAGACTTATTATACACTTATTTATAGACTTATTATAGACTTATTATAGACTTATTATACACTTATTATACACTTATTATAGACTTATTATAGACTTATTATACACTTATTATACACTTATTATACACTTATTATACACTTACATTATTGTGAGGTAATACAATAATAATGCAAAAGAAGTCAATCAGAATAATCAATTGTGCAGATTATTATTCACCATCAAATCCATTATTTATAAAGTCAAATACTCTAAAACCACATGATACAGTCGACCTAAATACAGCGGTCGTCACGGTAACAATCAGGACGTCCCCGAATGATCCAGGAAGGGTTCAAAACATTATAATCTGAGACAAACTGACGTTTAGCAAAGCCTCACTGCCAGGACCAAGTGGACCAAGTGCAGATGAGTCTCAGTCAGAGGAGCTGCTGTCTGGAATGGTCTGGAATGGTCCGGAAGGGTCTGGAATGGTCTGGAATGGTCTGGAATGGTCTGGAATGGTCTGGAATGGTCTGATATGGTCTGGAAGGGTCTGGAATGGTCTGGAATGGTCTGGAATGGTCTGGAATGGTCCGGAAGGGTCTGGAATGGTCTGGAATGGTCTGGTATGGTCTGGAAGGGTCTGGAATGGTCTGGAATGGTCTGGAAGGGTCTGGAAGGGTCTGGAAGGGTCTGGAAGGGTCTGGAAGGGTCTGGAAGGGTCTGGAAGGGTCTGGTATGGTCTGGAAGGGTCTGGAATGGTCTGGAATGGTCTGGAAGGGTCTGGAAGGGTCTGGAATGGTCTGGAAGGGTCTGGAATGGTCTGGAATGGTCTGGAAGGGTCTGGAATGGTCTGGAATGGTCTGGATGATTCACTAAAGAAAACTACATCAATCAAGCATTTAAAAAACGTGCTTAAATTTAAAATTTTGAGTAAATATAGAGAATTAGAATAAATCAATGATATTACAGCAATTATTGATATGATTATTATTATTATTACTATTATTATTATAATAATAATGTTGTTATTGACTCCATCTAAACTTGACTTATCCATCTAAACCTGACTTATCCATCTAAACCTGACTTATCCATCTAAACCTGACTTATCCATCTAAACTTAACTTATCCATCTAAACTTAACTTATCCATCTAAACCTGACTTATCCATCTAAACCTGACTTATCCATCTAAACCTGACTTATCCATCTAAACTTCTATAATCCTCATCTACAGGTTTCTTCTGTAAAAGATTGAAATGTGTTTTTTCTGTTGTTTTCTCCATGCAGAATGCTGATTGTTGCCGTTACAGTGAGCTACAGTACGAGGGTTCAGCCTAAACCCTTTCAGTCATTTTTATTTCTCTTTTTTTTTTTCTCAAGTATTCTGTATTGTCTGAGTTGTGAAAAAAGTGACTGAACAAATAAACTACTACTACTTCTCTGGTCTCTCTCTCTGGTCTCTCTCTCTGGTCTCTCTCTGGTCTCTCTCTGGGTCTCTTCTCTGGTCTCTCTCTGGTCCTCTCTCTCTGGTCTCTCTCTGGTCTCTCTCTGGTCTCTCTCTGGTCTCCTCTCTGGTCTCTCTCTGGTCTCTCCCTGGTCTCTCTCTCTGGTCTCTCTCTCTGGTCTCTCTCTCTGGTCTCTCTCTGGTCTCTCTCTGGTCTCTCTCTCTGGTCTCTCTCTGGTCTCTCTCTGGTCTCTCTCTGTCTCTCTCTCTGGTCTCTCTCTGGTCTCTCTCTCTGGTCTCTCTCTCTGGTCTCTCTCTGGTCTCTCCTCTGGTCTCTCTCTGGTCTCTCTCTGGTCTCTCTCTGGTCTCTCTCTGGTCTCTCTCTCTGGTCTCTCTCTCTGGTCTCTCTCTGGTCTCTCTCTGGTCTCTCTCTGGTCTTACCTGTGGACACCTTGGTCCAGGCCACAGAGGGGGGAGGGTTCCCGGTGGCGGAGCAGGGCAGGAGGACGTCGCTCTCGGCTGAGGCAGACACAGAGGATGAGGACACAGACGTGATCCGAGGTTTGGAGCCTGAGTCTGGTCCCGGAGCCCAGCGGAAGGGGGGGGCTGCAGTGGGTCTGCGGGACCCCCCCCGGCCTGGGAAGACACGGTCCGCTTTAGTATGTTTCTGCTACAAGAAAGTGTGGAAACTGAAAACAACCGGAACGTCATTTTAGTATCATTTCCTCTCTCTCTGGTCTCTCTAGTCTCCCTCTCCGGTCTCTCTCTGGTCTCCCTCTGGTCTCTCTCTGGTCTCTCTCTGGTCTCGCTCTCCGGTCTCTCTCTGGTCTCTCTCTGGTCTCTCTCTGGTCTCTCTCTGGTCTCTCTCTGGTCTCCAGCTCTGGTCTCCCTCTCCGGTCTCTCTCTGGTCTCTCTCTGGTCTCCTTCTGGTCTCCCGCTGTTCTCCCTCTGGTCTCCGGTCTCACCTCCGATGGGCCAGTGTCCAGAGTAGATCGGCCCGTGAGGAGTGGGGTACTTGGGTCTTGGACTCGGGTAGAAGCCGTGGTAGTACTTCCCCTGGTGGAGAGGTGGCGCTGTGGGGGCAGGTCTGTGGGAAGGCGAACTGAGGCGAGGTCTCGGAGTCATTATCCTCCCGAGCTGAGTCATCCGCTCCAGCTGCACCTGAGGAACCAGAGGGTGAGACCAGAGAGAGACCAGAGAGAGACCAGAGAGAGAGACCAGAGAGAGACCAGAGAGAGACCAGAGAGAGACCAGGAGAGAGACCAGAGAGAGACCAGAGAGAGAGACCAGAGAGAGAGACCAGAGAGAGACCAGAGAGACCAGAGAGAGAGACCAGAGAGAGACCAGAGAGAGACCAGAGAGAGAGACCAGAGAGAGACCAGAGAGAGAGACCAGAGAGAGACCAGAGAGAGACCAGAGAGAGACCAGAGAGAGAGACCAGAGAGAGACCAGAGAGAGACCAGAGAGAGAGACCAGAGAGAGACCAGAGAGAGAGACCAGAGCGAGACCAGAGAGAGACCAGAGAGAGACCAGAGAGAGAGACCAGAGAGAGACCAGAGAGAGAGACCAGAGAGAGACCAGAGAGAGACCAGAGAGAGAGACCAGAGCGAGACCAGAGAGAGACCAGAGAGAGACCAGAGAGAGAGACCAGAGAGAGAGAGACCAGAGAGAGACCAGAGAGAGACCAGAGAGAGAGACCAGAGAGAGACCAGAGAGAGACCAGAGAGAGAGACCAGAGAGAGACCAGAGAGAGACCAGAGAGAGAGACCAGAGAGAGACCAGAGAGAGACCAGAGAGAGAGACCAGAGAGAGACCAGAGAGAGGACCAGAGAGAGAGACCAGAGAGAGACCAGAGAGAGACCAGAGAGAGAGACCAGAGAGAGACCAGAGAGAGACCAGAGGGTGAGACCAGAGAGAGACCACAGAGAGACCAGAGAGAGAGACCAGAGAGAGACCAGAGAGAGACCAGAGAGAGAGACCAGAGAGAGACCAGAGAGAGACCAGAGAGAGACCAGAGAGAGACCAGAGAGAGACCAGAGAGAGACCAGAGAGAGACCAGAGGGAGAGCAGAGAGAGACCGAGAGCGAGAGAGACCGAGACCAGAGAGAGACCAAGAGAGAGACCAGAGAGAGAGACCAGACCAGAGAGAGAGAGAGACCAGAGAGAGACCAGAGAGAGACCAGAGAGAGAGAGACCAGAGAGAGACCAGAGAGAGAGACCAGAGAGAGAGACCAGAGAGAGAGAGAGAGACCAGAGAGAGAGACCAGAGAGAGAGACCAGAGACCAGAGAGAGACCAGAGAGAGACCAGAGAGAGAGACCAGAGAGAGACCAGAGAGAGACCAGAGAGAGAGACCAGAGAGAGACCAGAGAGAGAGACCACCAGAGAGAGAGAGACCAGAGAGAGACCAGAGAGAGACCAGAGAGAGACCAGAGAGAGACCAGAGAGAGAGACCAGAGAGAGAGAGACCAGAGAGAGACCAGAGAGAGACCAGAGAGAGACCAGAGAGAGACCAGAGAGAGACCAGAGAGAGACCAGAGAGAGACCAGAGAGAGAGACCAGAGAGAGACCAGAGAGAGACCAGAGAGAGACCAGGGCTCTGTACCTGTCTTTCTTCTCCCTCCCCTCCCCTCCCTCCCCCCTCCCCCTCCCCCTCCCTCCCCTCTCTCTCTCTGGTCTGTGATGTGTCTGCAGTCTGTACCTGTCTGTAGCGGCTGCGCAGTCGGGTGAGGAGCAGCGGGTCCATGGTGCTGTGGTCCGGACGATTCACAGGGGGGAGGTGGGGGAGGTGGGGGAGTAAGGGGGGGTACCCAGAGCTGGCTGTGGGGGAGACCCTCGGCCTTGCTGTCTCTGCTTTGATCTCTGGGCGGTTTGTGGAGGAGCCATGGAACCATGGGTGACGGAAAGACCAGAGGCGAGGGGTGGGTCTAACCCAGGACCCTGAGGTAAAGGACACACGAGTGAGACCAGAGGCCGAGACCAGAGGCCGAGACCAGAGGCCGAGACCAGAGGCCGAGACCAGAGGCCGAGACCAGAGGCCGAGACCAGAGGCCGAGACCAGAGGCCGAGACCAGAGGCCGAGACCAGAGGCCGAGACCAGAGGCCGAGACCAGAGGCCGAGACCAGAGGCCGAGACCAGAGGCCGAGACCAGAGGCCGAGACCAGAGGCCGAGACCAGAGGCCAGAGAGAAACCAGAGAGATCAGAAACCAGAGTGAGACCAGAGAGACATCACAAATGTCGGTTTCTCACCTGGTTTCCCGCTGATCTTGGTCCACGTGGGGGAGACTGGACCGGGCCGAGGTCTGTGTGGTGAGGCCCAGTGCATTGTGGGAGGAACATACGGACTCTGCTTTGACCTGGCGGTTTTGGCGTCCACCTCTTCACCGGCACTGGTCTGTTTGTAGAGCCAGGGATGAAGTGGCACCTGGACCAGATGGTCCTCTGCGTGTGGCTGGTCTGTCAGTCTGTCTGTGGCTGTCTCCTCAGGTCTGGAGTCTGTCAGTCTGTCTGTGGCTGTCTCCTCAGGTCTGGAGTCTGTCGGTCTGTCTGTGGCTGTCTCCTCAGGTCTGGAGTCTGTCAGTCTGTCTGTGGCTGTCTCCTCAGGTCTGGAGTCTGTCAGTCTGTCTGTGGCTGTCTCCTCAGGTCTGGAGTCCTCTGGTACTTGTGTTGTTGGAATATCTGCAGTGGGTACGTCCTCTTCTGTGATGTCTTCATCATAATACTCCTCTTCCTCAATCATGTATTCAGCGCTGGAGTCTGTAGTTGTAGCAGTAGTTGTAGCAGTAGTTGTAGCAGTAGTTGTAGCAGTAGTTGTAGCAGTAGTTGTAGCAGTAGTTGTAGGAGGAGGAGGAATAAGTGTAGTTATTGGTCTGTTATAATGATTTGGGCGTAGTCTTGGTCTCCAGTTTCTCCTGCGTCCGTACGGCGGTCGTCTCCGGTTTGGAAAGGGGACTGAGCGCTGTCGGCCGTCGATGGCGACTCTTGTTCGTGGAGAGACTGTGGTCGTTAGCATCTCTGAACTCATGGTTGATATTGACAATTCTGGAGCAGGTGGAACTTGCACAAGAGTTGTAGAATCATTCAAGAGAGTAGATGCTATTGTTGTTAGCTGTTGTGTTGTTAGCTGTTGTGTTGTTAGCTGTTGTGTTAGCTTTTGCGTAGTACTTGCTTCGGTGGCTTTAGCGTTAGCTTTGGCCAGCACCTCAGCCCATCTGCTCGGGTCTAATTCCTTTATGGACTTGTTGGCTTTGTGTTTGGAGTCTTTCTTTTGTGTTTGTTTCCAGTTTTGATTCTTTCGCTGCTCGACATTTTTGGGAAAATGTGTCGCCCACGGTCGGACGATTTCCTGAAAGTCTGCCCCTGAGCCCTCCTCCGCTGCCAGCAGAGTTAGCGCAGTGTTAGCTTGGGCTTTAGCCTTGTGTTTGTCTGTCCTGACGTGGACGGTGTGTGCGATCATGTCCACTCCGTGTAAGTTGGAGGCCACACAGCTGTAGTCTCCCGAGTTCTGGGCAGAGACCCTCTTCACGACCAGAGTCCCGTTGTGTAAGACCTGAGTGTGTTGGTTCTGCTGCGCGGGGAGCAGCGTGTGGCCGTTTGGGAGGAACCATACAGTCTGACTGGGCTGAGCAGATGTGACATCACAGGGCAGCGTGAAAGACCCGCCTCTCCTCAGTTCCAGCGTCTCTCCGTTTATTGCTTTTGGACTCAGGGACTTTGGCTTCACCGTGAGGCGGAAGGGCATCAGGTCGACGCCTGCGCTGGACCGGACCAAACACTGATACAGGCCTGAGTCTGCGATGGTGGCGTTCAGAACCACCAGCTCACCGCTCGCCGAGGCCTCATAGTTCTGGTTAGAACTCTCCAGAAGCGAGCCGTCAGGCAGCATCCACTCCACTTGAACCGAGGGGTCAGAGGTCACCACCTCGCACCTTAGCTCCACCTTTGTTCCCTCGAGCGCGGTTTGGACACGCCCCTTTTCCCCTTGACGAATCAGAGCCCAGGATGAGGGGATGTCAGTGTGGTCACTTCCTGTGTTGATAGTTTTGGTGATGTTCGTGGTGAAGTCCAGGACCAGCCTCTTGGTCGTGGTCTGTGGTCGGTTGAGTTTCAGAGCGACCCGCGGCTGCAGGAGCCATGGCGGGCTCGCAGTCATGTGACCTTTGAGTTCAGTGAAATACGGCGAGTCGTGGTTAACGACCTGCGAGTAGCGGAACGTGGCAGCGCTGCCGTTCCCGCGCTGCTCTCCGCGTTCCAAAACCGCAGCGCTCTCGTAGTAATACGCCACGAGCTGCCACAGCGTCTGCAGCGTCTCACGGTCAATCTCACACTCCAGCGCCGCGGCAACCGTCACGCCGACCGTCACGCCGACCGTCACAGCGCCCGCCGTCTGTGACTCCGTGCTCCAGGACAGCGGCGCCGGTTCCACAGGCCGCCGCACAGAGCAGGACACGTGAGCGTGGTGGGCGTGGCTGTCGGACAGCACCAGAGTGAGCTGCCCCAGAGCAGGCTCTAGGTCGCGGGTGTAGGGGGCGTCTGGGTCCGGGTCAGGCTCGGGCCACAGGGGGTTCTCCCTCAGCCTGAGGGGGGAGGAGAGAGAGGGGCGGGAGCAGCTCACATGGTCCACGGTGACGTCCAACAGGTTAGAGCCGTTTAGAGGAGGAGGAGACACACAGCGAGGACACACCTCCGTCCCACCGGAGTCACGGTCTCTCTTACACTTCACCACACCTGCAACACAGAGGAGATACCAGGAAGACCAGGAAGACCAGAGACCAGAGAGAGAGACCAGAGACCAGAGAGACAGACCAGAGAGACCAGAGAGACCAGAGAGAGACCAGAGAGACAGACCAGAGACCAGAGAGAGAGAGACCAGAGAGACCAGAGAGAGAGAGAGACCAGAGACCAGAGAGAGAGACCAGAGACCAGAGAGACAGAACCAGAGACCAGAGAGACAGACCAGAGACCAGAGAGACAGAACAGAGACCAGAGAGACAGAACAGAGACCAGAGAGACAGACCAGAGAGACCAGAGAGAGAGACCAGAGAGACCAGAGAGAGAGACCAGAGACCAGAGAGACAGACCAGAGAGACCAGAGAGACCAGAGAGAGACCAGAGAGACAGACCAGAGACCAGAGAGAGAGAGACCAGAGACCAGAGAGAGAGACCAGAGAGACCAGAGAGAGACCAGAGAGACAGACCAGAGACCAGAGAGAGAGACCAGAGAGAGAGAGACCAGAGAGAGAGAGACCAGAGAGAGAGGGACCAGAGACCAGAGAGAGAGAGAGACCAGAGAGAGAGAGACCAGAGAGAGACCAGAGAGACCAGAGAGAGATACCAGAGAGAGAGACCAGAGAGAGAGACCAGAGAGAGAGACCAGAGAGAGAGAGACCAGAGACCAGAGAGACAGACCAGAGAGACCAGAGAGAGACCAGAGAGAGACCAGAGAGAGAGACCAGAGAGAGACCAGAGAGAGAGACCAGAGAGAGACCAGAGAGAGAGACTAGAGAGAGACCAGAGTACTCTAAAAAAAATCAAATCCTATAAGTTCACGACGCAAAAGTGAATGTTAATGTTCTCCATCTGTAGCTGAGGTCACTCTCCTGCTGCAGAGGTCTCTCTCCTAATACTTGTCTCTGTACCTCTGGTCTCTCTCCTGCTGCAGAGGTCTCTCTCCTCACACTGGTCCCTCCAGGACACACATGGTGGCACCAGATGTGAACGTTCAGCACAGAGTAAATAAACACCACTCAACATAAACACTGATGGATGCCTGCCCTAGTCTTGGTCCTGGTCTCACCATGGTCCTGGTCTCAGTATCGGTCCTGGTCTCACCTGGTCCTGGTCTCAACTTGGTCCTGGTCTTACCTGGTACTGGTTGCACCTTGGTCCCAGTGGCGGAGCCAGAGGGGTAGCCAGGGTGGCCACTGCCACCTCTAAAAATACCCTTGCCACCCCCACTGCCCCCCCTCGGAAGACGGCAATTTAATAATGTGCATATCTTGAGAATCTTCCGCACTTTTCCCGCCGAAAACTAAAAATTCCCACGGTTTCCACTGTCTAGTGATGTGCTGAGCGGGCCGAGTCTTCGAAGCGTGGACCGAGTAATCTGGGGGCGTTTCTTTTGAAGTGTGGGTCGAGGCGTGTATTGGTCACGTGTGTGATGACGTTCGAAGCCTCGCGAACGGTCGTACCACGTGACTGATTCAGGAAATGATTCGTTGGTTTGGAGCGCGATTCGAAATAAAAGGGACGAGTGAACGCAATGGATTCCCCTTCATCACTTTGTGTGTTTTTGGGTTATTGCGCTTCTCATTTGGCATCCTATTTGAGCTTCTTTTTTGCGAACCGGCAAGAAAGAGAAGATTTTCTCCAGTTTGGGAGCACTTTGAGCAGATCTCACCTAATAAGGTAAGGCATATCAATAATTCTGTAATAATAGATTACACAAATATGACAACACATAATTTCTCTTGCTCACTTTTCTCTGTTATAAATACGTTTGAATAATAGTTTTTTCAATTGCAGGTGAAGTGTTTGTTATGCTCCAAACAAGTGGGTTATAATAATAACACCTCAGCTATGCTAAGGTACTATCGTGCCTTAAACAGCAGATGCAGAAGACACCACCACTTTGGCCTTGTCTTTGGCTTCCCTGTATCTCTTCTCCACCATGGCTTTCAAAGTCTGAAAAAAGTAAAGTCTTGAAATAGTGGATCTGAGGATAATAAATTGTTAATAGTTCAAATAAATACCTGCCGCGTGGGAAGAACATAAGATGGTGCCAAAGCTTTCACAAGCTTTCGGAAGCCAGTTCCCTCAGCCAGCAGAGACATGGCTGAGGGACAAGCTCAGCCACCTCCAATCAATGAGCATCATGTCCCTCTCTACCTTGCTTGATCCCAGATTTAAAAAGATTGGATTCTTCAACCCCAATAAGGCAGCAGAAGCTGAAAAAAGATTGATTGGCGAATGTGCTCGAGTTTTGAGACTTTCATTGTCCGCTTCTGCTTCACCATCACCATCACCATCACCATCATCATCACCATCACCATCACCATCACCATCACCATCATCACCATCACCATCACCATCACCATCACCATCACCATCACCACCATCACCATCACCATCACCATCACCATCACCATCACCATCACCATCACCATCACCATCACCATCACCATCACCATCATCATCACCATCACCATCACCATCACCATCACCATCACCATCACCATCATCATCATCATCATCACCATCATCATCATCACCATCATCATCATCTGTAGCTGAAGGTAATATGTATACTCTATTTGTGCTAATAAGTCACTTATAACCTGTTTATTCTGTTTTAGGGAGCAAACTGTGGCAACGTTTTGACACGACATGCCAGCAGACCAAAATCCCAAACATAACTGCCAACGCTACAGTGGAGGTCCAAACATACCTGGGGGAGCCAAATATTCCTCCACTCGAAAGTCCCCTTCAATATTGGGACAAACATAAGTTTACATTTCCAAATTTATATAAACTTGCCATTACATATTTATGTTCACCTGCATCCTCTGTGCCCTGTGAACGGGTTTTCTCAAAGGCAGGTGAAATACTGTGCAAAAAAAGAAATCGCCTGAGTCCAAATACTCTTGAAAAATTATTATTTTTGAATAAAAATGAATAACTGTATTGTTTGTTTTTCAACTCCTGTCAATAGTTGCATAAGCACTTACATAAACAAAGTAACACAAGCACATTTTACATAACAACTGTCTCCACATCATTGGCTGTATTCTTTCAGCCCATGTTCAGACCCTACCATTTGTTATAGGCCCTTGGCATGTATTACATTTCTGTGTCCACATGATGGCGCAGTGGAGCATGATTCACCTCGAGCCTTTGACTCATGGGCCGAGTAATAGGCTGCGATCCCTCAAGGCTTCATGGGGCTTCATATTGCCATCACTACCACCACTGTCTGTGAACGCACCCTGACTCCGTGTGGAGAGGTCTTGAGCCGGTGCGGCGCAGTATGTAGCGCTTTTCATTGGTTGTTCGACTCACATGTGCTCGAGTTGTGATGAAAACAGAAGGTAAGTGGGCGACACAGGGCCGTTTACATTTGACATGAAGTATAGACACACGTACTGCAGCACATTACTCGTTCAGTTTGTAGTACTTTTTGCGTGTGTATTCTCAATTATTAATTGCACATTGTATCATCACCCTCTTCCCTTTAGTTTAAACATGAAAAGAAAAGGAGGAGACATTTATTCTTTTTTTGTAAAGAAAGCTCCTGAAGGTCAGACTCGGAGGCAGTATGTTTTGAAAATGTTCATGATGAGGAATTTGTTAAAATATAGCTTATAGTTTCAGAGGATGAGGATGCCGTCATTTTTCACTACCAGGCTCCACATAATCTGCCTTTACGTCAGAGTCAGGCTTCTTCAACTGGAAAAAGGCACTTTTTAAAGATGCTGGATTTAAACTACACTCAAAATCAGAGCAACACTCAAATGCCATGTATGCGTGGGTGGAACACAAAAGGGGCATTGATACTTCAAAATCGATATATGATACTTTAAATGAAGCTCAAAAACATAAGATTGAGGAAAACAAGCAATATATTAAAACAATAGCTGAGGTGTTGCTGTTAACTGCAACACAAAATATTGCACAAAGAGGCCACAGAGAAAATGACGATTCTGTCAATAAAGGCAAGTTTTTGGATATTTTGGATCAAATTGCAAACCATGACCCCTACATTAAAAAAAAAACTTGAGGCACATGGGAATGCCAAGTACACTAGTTACCAAATCCAGAATGAGATCTTGGAAGTTTTGGCAGATATGGTGCAAAAGCAGATTGTGGCTGAAGTAAAAGATAGTGAGGTTTTCAGTGTATTGGCAGATGAAACAAAAGACCTACAAAAAAAAGAACAGATTTCATTAGTTGTTCGATATTATTACAGTGGTGCTGTACATGAAAGCTTCTTGCATTTCCAGTCAGCACAAAGCTTGGATGCAGAAGGCCTCACAAACATGATAGTTGGCTGTTTGGAGAAGCATGGTCTGGACTATAGGAACCTAATAGGTCAGGGGTACGATGGTGCCTCAGTGATGAGTGGGAAACATTCTGGTGTTTATACCCGTATTAAAAGTAATGCCGAGTTTGCATTGTATGTGCATTGTAATGCACACTGCTTGAATTTAGTTCTTGTCGATGTGGTGAAGTCAGTTCCAGAAGCTGAAGATTTCTTTGCTCTTTTGCAGAATATTTATAAGTTTGTTTCTGGCTCTGCTGTTCATATGAAGTGGCTTGAGGTCCAAAAGGAAATGTATCCCCAAGAGAAACCTCGGGAGCTACAAAGACTAACAGATGTTAGGTGGGCTTGCAGGTACATGGCGTGTCGTAATCTGAAAGATAGGCTGCCTGCCATTTTGAGGCTTCTACAGGACATTTCTACTGAGAAGAGTAGTGGAGAAAGGAAAGTCGAAGCAAGGGGTCTTCTGGCTCAGATTGACATGCAGTTTATTGGGCTGTTGATTATTTTTTGTCAAGTGTTTGGTGATGTAAAGATCCTATCTGACATGCTCCAATCAACCACTCTTGATCTGTCAAGAGCTGTAGAACTTGTGAATGCCCTAGCGGACACATTTAAAGGTTACAGAAATGAGACTTATTTTGGTGACCTATGGAGGGAGATTGAGGCCCATGTTCAGAGATGCAACATTTCCAGAGAAGGACAAAACAAAAGACAATCTAAAACCACTACCAAGTTGGCTGACTCCCTTGTCATGAGCACTTTTGGGCAAAGGGACGTCTGTCAAAGCAATGAACAGCTTAACAGAAGTGTGTTTTATCAGGTGCTGGATTGTCTATCGGCAGAGTTAGAGAGGCGTTTTTCACAGAAAAACGGTGAGATTATGGATGGAGTGCAGTCTCTTGACCCCAAAAGTCCTTCATTTTTGAAAGAAGAGCCCCTGTTTGCATTTGGCAGAGCCTTTGATTCAGATGTAGAGGACCTTAAGCATGAGGTCCATCAAACTAGGCGGCTTCTTGGGAGGAGAGAAAAAAATGGACTAGAGAGACCATCTTCCCTATTGGAATTCCTTGTCTTTTTGGAACCTTATAAAAAAGTTGTTCATGAGCTTTTCAGGCTTGCAAAGATATCTGTTGTGACACCTGTCAGTACTGCAGCTTGTGAAAGAAGTTTCTCTGCCCTAAAACTAATCAAAAACCATCTCCGAACGACCATGGCAGATGATAGAGTCATCTTGGTATCCTCAGTGTGGAGTCAAGGAGGGCTCAGGGCTAAATATGGATGAGTTTGTCACAATCTTTGCTGCTTTACACCAGAACCGCAGGATTTTGCTTTGCTGATGTCCTGTAAAACAGGTGCCTACATTTGTTAAAAGATGCAATGTTTGAATTATGTCATTTAGCACTTTTGTTCAGACCACTGTATGCACTTTTTTGCTTCGTTGTTTCCAAGTGCACTCAGTTCACTTTATGTAAAGAATGAAAATAAGATTAAGATTAAAATGTATCGTTTAGCCAGTTTATAACATTTCTGAATAGTATAAATGTGGACCCCTTAAAAAAACCCTTGCCATTCCCTGGCCACCCTTTGTTTAAAAGTCTGGCTCCGCCACTGCTTGGTCCTGGTCTCACCTGGTCCTGGTCTCACCTGGTCCTGGTCTCAACTTGGTCCTGGTCTCAACTTGGTCCTGGTCTCAACTTGGTCCTGGTCTCAGTATCGGTCCTGGTCCCAAATTGTCCTGGTCTCAGTATCGGTCCTGGTCCCAAATTGTCCTGGTCTCAGTATCGGTCCTGGTCTCATCTGGTCCTGGTCTCAGTACCGGTCCTGGTCCCACCTGGTCCCGGTCTCACCTTGGTGCTCTGATCCCCAGCTCAGGAGCCAGTGCAGGCCGCAGTCACAGATCCAGGGGTTTGAGTGAAGCGTGAGGAGCTCCAGACGAGGAGCAGTGAGGAGCACCGAGGAGGGGAGGCTCCGGAGGAGGTTCTCAGACAGGTGGAGGTTCCTACAGGAGACCAGAGAGTTACCAGAGACCAGAGACCAGAGAGAGACCAGAGAGAGACCAGAGAGAGAGACCAGAGACCAGAGAGAGACCAGAGAGAGACCAGAGAGAGACCAGAGAGAGACCAGAGAGAGACCAGAGAGAGACCAGAGAGAGAGACTAGAGAGAGACCAGAGAAAGACCAGAGAGAGACCAGAGAGAGAGACCAGAGAGTTACCAGAGAGAGACCAGAGACCAGAGAGAGACCAGAGAGAGACCAAAGAGAGAGACCAAAGAGAGAGACCAGAGAGAGAGACCAGAGAGTTACCAGAGACCAGAGACCAGAGAGAGACCAGAGAGAGACCAAAGAGAGAGAGACCAGAGAGAGACCAGAGAGTTACCAGAGAGAGAGACCAGAGAGAGACCAGATAGAGAGACCTGCCCTCACTTGATCCCGGAGCTCCAGAAAGTCCCCAGAACTGACACGGTGATGAGGGCGTGTGGGTGCAGGTCTCTCAGCAGGTTTCCCTCCAGGTGTAACAGTTTTAGTGACGTCAGACCGGAGAAGGAGTACGGCTCGATGAAGGAGATAAGGTTATGGTCCAGGTGCAACCGGACCAAAGACCCAAGACCCTCAAACTGACCCCTCCCCACGGACGACAGCTTGTTATAACTCAGCTTCAGCAGCTGTAACAGAAGTAAAGCTCAGGTCTGTAACTTTAATCTGAATCCAGTCCACTTTACTTATAGCATTACATTATAACAACAAGCATGTTTCCAAAGTGCTGCACAAACAAGTATCAAACATGCACAAAAAAGAAACGTATCCTTAGCTCCACCATGTACGAAACAATAAAATATGTCTCTTCTGAACTGGGGTGATGTGTTTCATTCAGCACTAGATCTTATACGGAATCGGGACGTAAGCGGAAGTAAATATAACAAACTACCTATTCATGCCTAAACTTAACCAGCCATTCCCATAAAATAACCCCAACCCACCTTAACCCTAACCTTAACCATCTTACTCAGACCACCTTAACCCTAACCTTAACCATCTTACTCAGACCACCTTAACCCTAACCTTAACCATCTTACTCAGACCACCTTAACCCTAACCTTAACCATCTTACTCAGACCACCTTAACCCTAACCTTAACCATCTTACTCAGACCCACCTTAACCCTAACCTTAACCATCTTACTCAGACCACCTTAACCCTAACCTTAACCATCTTACTCAGACCACCTTAACCCTAACCTTAACCATCTTACTCAGACCACCTTAACCCTAACCTTAACCATCTTACTCAGACCACCTTAACCCTAACCTTAACCATCTTACTCAGACCCACCTTAACCCTAACCTTAACCATCTCACTCAGACCACCTTAACCCTAACCTTAACCATCTTACTCAGACCCACCTTAACCCTAACCTTAACCATCTTACTCAGACCACGTTAACTCTAACCTTAACCATCTTACTCAGACCACCTTAACCCTAACCTTAACCATCTTACTCAGACCACCTTAACCCTAACCTTAACCATCTTACTCAGACCACCTTAACCCTAACCTTAACCATCTTACTCAGACCACCTTAACCCTAACCTTAACCATCTTACTCAGACCACCTTAACCCTAACCTTAACCATCTTACTCAGACCACCTTAACCCTAACCTTAACCATCTTACTCAGACCACCTTAACCCTAACCTTAACCATCTTACTCAGACCCACCTTAACCCTAACCTTAACCATCTTACTCAGACCACCTTAACCTTAACCATCTTACTCAGACCACCTTAACCCTAACCTTAACCATCTTACTCAGACCCACCTTAACCCTAACCTTAACCATCTTACTCAGACCACCTTAACCCTAACCTTAACCATCTTACTCAGACCACCTTAACCCTAACCTTAACCATCTTACTCAGACCACCTTAACCCTAACCTTAACCATCTTACTCAGACCACCTTAACCCTAACCTTAACCATCTTACTCAGACCACCTTAACCCTAACCTTAACCATCTTACTCAGACCACCTTAACCCTAACCTTAACCATCTTACTCAGACCACCTTAACCCTAACCAGGGGGGTAGCACCAAATTCAGGGCCCCGGGTACAAACAGTCTCAATGGGCCCCACTACACGTTTCTTATATATATATATATATATATATATATATTTAATTATTTAATACAATTCTGATTCATGTCCTTTGGTTTTATTATCATAAATATTGTTGATGGCCATTAGCGGACTTGGCATACTGGAGATAATTTGGGAATGGTTTGCCCTCCATATCTTTGGGTATGGTATTGCCTGTTTTTGAACCACCATCACTGGCTAGTAGATGAACAATTCTTTTCCTTTGTTTATCGGTGAGATTCTCTGGCCATAATCCTGGGTCCTCTGACAATCCCTCATCATTATTACTCTGTCTCTTGGTGTCATCTCTTTCCTCCTCAATCCTCTCCACATTCTCATCACTTTCCCTTTCATCACTTAATTCAGTTTCTACATCCTCTTCTAATTCTGCCTCTGCCTCTGCTACATGGACACAATACAGACAAAAATGATATAGAATTAGTGTATACAGTAAAACTTATAAAGTAATAACTTACTAACTTATTGAAAACAGTTCAATCAGTGACTGATAAATGCTCACCATGCCTCACTGTCAAACCCTCACTACTAGTGCCTTCATCTGGCCATGATGCTTCTCTTCCTGAAACTGAAATAAAGTAGCTTTAATGGGTTGCAAACAGATACTATATTCCATCATTACAGTGTATAGCTATTACGTATATGCCTGCATGCCTTTATGTGATATGTGTATATGGCTATTCATATAAAATATATAGTATATCTTATCTTATTTGTATGGACCATGAGTAGGTAAGTTACTTATTTGTTATTGTACAAACATACAACAAAATACTTTTTATGGTTCATTATTATCCACCAATTTAGACTTTGTGAAAATTCAAATCGATGCAATCTTTTTTGAAATAAGCCTATTCCATTTTCAACTAAACACCTGTGCCTAGCCTTACTCCGCCCACATGAACATTTAAAATTTTTCTGTAAAAATGGCACCAGTGGAGAAGAAGGGGGGCTTACAGTTGGGCATGGTCTGGGCTGTGATTGTCAGTTGTCATTTCTGGCTTAAAAGCAATAGTTTACACACCAGAAAGTCTCATTTCACCCTTTAGACCATTAGACTTATTTACATTATTTTGACCACTAGATGTCACCAGAAAACTCCAAATCGGTGCGGGGGCGTGTGATTTGTATGGCTATAACCAGATGATCCAATGCAGAGGCCAGTGAGTGACCCGTGACTTATGACTGCAAGACTCACGGACGGACAGATTATGACAATAGTGGGAATATAGGGTACAGGGTTGTACATGAAAATAACTCTTTGCTGCCTGCCTTTGAAGGAGAAGTGGACAGCAGTGTGTGTGAGCTCCCTTTACAGCTGCGCGTCTGTGTGTGTCACTCTGGATAAGGTTTTTTTTTACCACGTACACGGCACACTGTTAGCTCTCCGTGAGTTTAGAATACAGAAACAAATGTCTCTGGGTTTTCTCCTGATGTGGCCTTAACACGTCTCTATTTACTCACCTCTCGTGTGGAAGAACTGAGTAGGCAATTGCTTGCCCTCATTACACTTTTTCTCTTTGTCCTGTCTTTCTTTTCTTTTCTGAAATCCTGATTTTCCTTTCTTTGGAAAAGACATTTCTATTTTTCCAGCTTCTGCCGCTGCTTGTCAAAGAAGTCAACTCGCTGCAGCGGCAGCAACACAGCAACAAGCGCACATGTGGGTCGTACCATTTGATCTTTTGTAAGGGGGTGGAAGGGCCCTGATATAGCATACAAATTTGTTTTTAGAGGAAAACTGAGGTTAAAACGTTGGTTATTTTTATACAGGGCCCCTTTCATTCAAATTGTAATAATATGAATATACCATAATGCCTAATACATATAAATATAAAGACACACTAGAGGGCCCCTCCCCGCCTTGGGCCCTGGGTACTCGGTACCCTTTACCCCCCCAGTCCGACGCCCATGACCCTAACCTTAACCATCTTACTCAGACCACCTTAACCCTAACCTTAACCATCTTACTCAGACCACCCTAACCCTAACCATCTTACTCAGACCACCTTAACCCTAACCTTAACCATCTTACTCAGACCACCTTAACCCTAACCTTAACCATCTTACTCAGACCACCTTAACCCTAACCTTAACCATCTTACTCAGACCACCTTAACCCTAACCTTAACCATCTTACTCAGACCACCTTAACCCTAACCTTAACCATCTTACTCAGACCACCTTAACCCTAACCTTAACCATCTTACTCAGACCACCTTAACCCTAACCTTAACCATCTTACTCAGACCACCTTAACCCTAACCCTAACCATCTTACTCAGACCACCTTAACCCTAACCTTAACCATCTTACTCAGACCACCTTAACCCTAACCTTAACCATCTTACTCAGACCACCTTAACCCTAACCTTAACCATCTTACTCAGACCACCTTAACCCTAACCTTAACCATCTTACTCAGACCACCTTAACCCTAACCTTAACCATCTTACTCAGACCACCTTAACCCTAACCTTAACCATCTTACTCAGACCACCTTAACCCTAACCTTAACCATCTTACTCAGACCACCTTAACCCTAACCTTAACCATCTTACTCAGACCACCTTAACCCTAACCCTAACCATCTTACTCAGACCACCTTAACCCTAACCTTAACCATCTTACTCAGACCACCTTAACCCTAACCTTAACCATCTTACTCAGACCACCTTAACCCTAACCTTAACCATCTTACTCAGACCACCTTAACCCTAACCTTAACCATCTTACTCAGACCACCTTAACCCTAACCTTAACCATCTTACTCAGACCACCTTAACCCTAACCCTAACCATCTTACTCAGACCACCTTAACCCTAACCTTAACCATCTTACTCAGACCACCTTAACCCTAACCTTAACCATCTTACTCAGACCACCTTAACCCTAACCTTAACCATCTTACTCAGACCACCTTAACCCTAACCTTAACCATCGACTCAGACCACCTTAACCCTAACCTTAACCATCTTACTCAGACCCACCTTAACCCTAACCTTAACCATCTTACTCAGACCCACCTTAACCCAACCTTGTACCAGAGAGGAGACCAGGAGGACCAGAAGGACCAGAAGGAGACCAGGAGGACCAGAGAGAGAGAGACCAGAGATGAAGGGTTTAGGGTCCTCTGAACCGCCGTCCTCTGAACCGCCGTCCTCTGAACCGCCGTCCTCTGAACCGCCGTCCTCTGAACCGCCGTCCTCCGCGCCGGTCTCTGGTCTAGGACACTGAGGAGATGGGGTTGAGAGGAGAGCCCATCTGAGTCAGCACTTTGTCGAGCCACTGCAGCGGTCCGTGCAGATGCACCTCGATCCAGCAGGGGGTGCTGGTCACATCCTGTCGATGGTACTCTGCACCCCAGCCCTGAGAACAAGAGGAGCAGCTCACACATGGTCCACATAAGCCCCCCCCCATCTTGGTACACATCTTTGTGAGTTTGTTTATAGACTGCCTCTGCCCCCCCCCCCCCCCCCGGCCTCCTCCTCTCTCCTCCTCCTCTCTCCCCATGGTCCGCACCTTGACAAAGCTCATCCTGATGGTACACATCTTGGTGAGTTCGTTTATAGACTGTCCTCTCCCCCCCGGCCTCCTCCTCCTCTCTCTTCCCCCCCCCCCCGGCCTCCTCCTCCTCCTCCTCCTCTCTCCTCCTCCTCCTCTCTCTCCTCCTCTCTCCCCATGGTCCGCACCTTGACAAAGCTCATCCTGATGGTACACATCTTGGTGAGTTCGTTTATAGACTGTCCTCCTCTCCCCCCCCAGCCTCCTCTCTCTCCTCCTCCTCTCTCCCCATGGTCCGCACCTTGACAAAGCTCATCCTGATGGTACACATCTTGGTGAGTTCGTAGACCGCCTCAAACCCATGGTTCACAGACTGAGCTAAGAGTTGAGCGAACTCCTGGTTGTTGAAGATCTTGAGGCTGCAGCCGCTCGGGATCTTACAGACGGTTGTGGGATGGAACCCATGATGGTAGTTACAGTTCCTGCTCTGCACGAAGATACTGGTGTCACTGAGGCACTCTGCGTACACCTCGCCTCCCACATAGTACAGGTGTACTCCTGTAGAGAGAGAGACCAGAGAGGGAGACCATCAACACCAGGAGAGATGTCAGAGACCAGAGAGAGAAGATTAATTAAAAAAAAAAAAAAAGTGGTTTGAGTAGATCCTGTACCTTTGTACCAGTTCTCGGTGGTAGGGCCTGTACCTTTGTACCAGCGTATATTCTTGATGGTCAAGCTGTAGTCATCTACCTATGTACCTTTGCCGATGTGCCGGTGGGTGTTCTCGATGGTAGAGTTGCGGTCATGTACCTGTGTGTGTGTACCTGTGCTTACCTTTGCCGATGTGCCGGTGGGTGTTCTCGATGGTAGAGTTGCGGTCATGTACCTGTGTGTGTGTACCTGTGCTTACCTTTGCCGATGTGCCGGCGTGTGTTCTCGATGGTAGAGTTGCGGTCATGTACCTGTGTGTGTACCTGTGCTTACCTTTGCCGATGTGCCGGCGTGTGTTCTCGATGGTAGAGTTGCGGTCATGTACCTGTGTGTGTGTACCTGTGCTTACCTTTGCCGATGTGCCGGCGTGTGTTCTCGATGGTAGAGTTGCGGTCATGTACCTGTGTGTGTACCTGTGCTTAACTTTGCCGATGTGCCGCCGTGTGTTCTCGATGGTAGAGTTGCGGTCATGTACCTGTGTGTGTACCTGTGCTTAACTTTGCCGATGTGCCGCCGTGTGTTCTCGATGGTAGAGTTGCGGTCATGTACCTGTGTGTGTACCTGTGCTTACCTTTGCCGATGTGCCGGTGGGTGTTCTCGATGGTAGAGTTGCGGTCATGTACCTGTGTGTGTACCTGTGCTTACCTTTGCCGATGTGCCGGCGTGTGTTCTCGATGGTAGAGTTGCGGTTGACGTTGGAGAGGAGGCCGAGGCAGAAGCGGTTCTTGTTGTTGGATGGATCAGTGAAACCATCGACCAGGACAGAAGTGGAGGACGCATGGTACGCCTCTCCCACACGGTTGTTCAGCTCATAGTACATGATGGAGCACCAGTGAGACGGCTCCTCGTACTCCACCGGCTGCACGTCTGAGGGAGCACAGGGTTAGCACTGCAGATGGTTAGCCATGCTTCTAAGTCCATATGATGTACCTCCTCTGGGGACGCTGCTGCTGGTCTCCATACTGGTCCCATCCTCTGGAGGCATGTAGGCGGGGGGCGGGGTGTCCGCTGTGGACACATGGTCCCGGTTAACCTAGCAGCAGCAGTAGCAGCAGCAGTAGCAGCAGTAGCAGCAGCAGCAGCAGCAGTAGCAGCAGTAGCAGCAGCAGCAGTAGCAGCAGCAGTAGCAGCAGCAGCAGCAGCAGTAGCAGCAGCAGCAGCAGCAGCAGCAGCAGTAGTAGTAGCAGCAGCAGCAGTAGCAGCAGCAGCAGCAGCAGTAGTAGCAGCAGTAGCAGCAGTAGCAGCAGTAGCAGTAGCAGTAGCAGTAGCAGCAGCAGCAGCAGTAGCAGCAGCAGCAGTATCAGTATCAGCAGTATCAGTATCAGCAGTAGCAGTATCAGCAGCAGTAGCAGCATCAGCAGTAGCAGCAGCAGTAGCAGCAGCATCAGCAGCAGCAGTAGCAGCAGTAGCAGTATCAGCAGCAGTAGCAGCATCAGCAGCAGCAGCAGCAGTAGAATCAGCAGCAGCAGCAGCAGCAGCAGCAGCAGCAGCAGCAGTAGCAGTAGTATCAGCAGTAGCAGTAGCAGCAGCAGTAGCAGCAGCAGCAGTAGCAGCAGCAGTAGTAGCAGTAGCAGTAGCAGCAGTAGTATCAGCAGCAGCAGCAGCAGCAGTAGTATCAGCAGCAGCAGCAGTAGCAGCAGCAGCAGCAGCAGCAGCAGTAGCAGTAGTATCAGCAGTAGCAGTAGCAGCAGTAGCAGCAGCAGCAGCAGTAGCAGCAGCAGTATCAGCATCAGCAGCAGTAGCATCAGCAGCAGTAGCAGAGTCTTACCTGGCAGTTGGAAGGGGCTGGCTGGTCCAGAGCTGGCAGGGGAGCTGGGGTAGGTGGTGCTGCCTGGAGAGGGGGGAGTAAAGGGGGAGACGGGGGAGACGCTGTGGGGGAAGGACTCAGGGAAGGTGGCGTTCAGAGGCATGTGAGGCTCGTTATGGCTCAGGTTCCTGAACTGCACCAACAGACTGTGCTGAGGGTTGAACTCACTGTGACGAGGAACCAACACCGGGGGCAGCACTGAGGAGAGACACCAGTTAGGACCAGAGAGACCAGAGACCAGAGAGACCAGAGACCAGAGAGACCAGAGACCAGAGACCAGAGAGACCAGAGAGACCAGAGAGACCAGAGAGACCAGAGACCAGAGAGACCAGAGAGACCAGAGACCAGAGACCAGAGAGACCAGAGACCAGAGAGACCAGAGAGACCAGAGAGAGAGACCAGAGAGAGAGACCAGAGAGACCAGAGACCAGAGAGACCAGAGACCAGAGAGAGACCAGAGAGACCAGAGAGACCAGAGAGACCAGACCGTTAGGACCAGAGAGACCAGAGACCAGAGACCAGAGAGACCAGAGAGACCAGAGACCAGAGAGACCAGAGAGACCAGAGACCAGAGAGACCAGAGAGACCAGAGACCAGAGAGAGAGACCAGAGAGAGAGACCAGAGAGACCAGAGAGACCAGAGACCAGAGACCAGAGAGACCAGAGAGACCAGAGACCAGAGAGACCAGAGAGACCAGAGACCAGAGACCAGAGAGACCAGAGACCAGAGACCAGAGACCAGAGAGACCAGAGACCAGAGACCAGAGAGACCAGAGAGACCAGAGACCAGAGAGACCAGAGAGACCAGAGACCAGAGACCAGAGACCAGAGACCAGAGAGACCAGAGAGACCAGAGAGACCAGAGACCAGAGACCAGAGAGACCAGAGAGACCAGAGAGACCAGAGACCAGAGAGACCAGAGAGACCAGAGACCAGAGAGACCAGAGAGACCAGAGACCAGAGAGAGAGACCAGAGAGAGAGACCAGAGAGACCAGAGACCAGAGAGACCAGAGACCAGAGACCAGACACCAGAGACCAGACACCAGAGAGACCAGAGAGACCAGAGAGAGAGACCAGAGAGAGAGACCAGAGACCAGAGAGACCAGAGAGACCAGAGAGACCAGAGAGACCAGAGAGACCAGAGACCAGAGACCAGACACCAGAGAGACCAGAGAGACCAGAGAGAGAGACCAGAGAGACCAGAGAGAGACACCAGAGAGACCAGAGAGAGAGACCAGAGACCAGAGAGAGAGACCAGAGAGACCAGAGAGACCAGAGAGACCAGAGAGACCAGAGAGACCAGAGACCAGAGACCAGAGACCAGAGACCAGAGACCAGAGAGACCAGAGAGACCAGAGAGAGACCAGAGAGACCAGAGAGACCAGAGAGACCAGACCGTTAGGACCAGAGAGACCAGAGACCAGAGACCAGAGAGACCAGAGAGACCAGAGACCAGAGAGACCAGAGAGACCAGAGACCAGAGAGACCAGAGAGACCAGAGACCAGAGAGAGAGACCAGAGAGACCAGAGAGAGAGACCAGAGAGAGAGACCAGAGAGAGAGACCAGAGAGACCAGAGACCAGAGACCAGAGAGACCAGAGAGACCAGACCAGAGACCAGAGACCAGAGACCAGAGAGACCAGAGAGACCAGAGAGACCAGAGACCAAGACCAGAGAGACCAGAGAGACCAGAGACCAGAGAGACCAGAGAGACCAGAGACCAGAGACCAGAGACCAGAGAGACCAGAGACCAGAGACCAGAGAGACCAGAGAGACCAGAGAGACCAGAGAGACCAGAGAGACCAGAGAGACCAGAGAGACCAGAGAGACCAGAGAGACCAGAGAGAGACCAGAGAGAGACCAGAGAGACCAGAGACCACCAGAGAGACCAGAGAGACCAGAGAGACCAGAGAGACCAGAGACCAGAGAGACCAGAGACCAGAGAGAGAGACCAGAGACCAGAGAGAGAGACCAGAGAGACCAGAGAGACCAGAGAGACCAGAGAGACCAGAGAGACCAGAGAGACCAGAGAGACCAGAGAGACCAGAGAGACCAGAGACCAGAGACCAGAGAGACCAGAGAGACCAGAGAGACCAGAGAGAGACCAGAGAGACCAGAGAGACCAGAGAGACCAGACCGTTAGGACCAGAGAGACCAGAGACCAGAGACCAGAGAGACCAGAGAGACCAGAGACCAGAGAGACCAGAGACCAGAGAGACCAGAGACCAGAGACCAGAGACCAGAGACCAGAGAGACCAGAGAGACCAGAGACCAGAGACCAGAGAGACCAGAGACCAGAGACCAGAGACCAGAGACCAGAGACCAGAGAGACCAGAGACCAGAGACCAGAGAGACCAGAGAGACCAGAGAGTTAGGACCAGAGAGACCAGAGACCAGAGAGACCAGAGAGACCAGAGAGACCAGAGAGTTAGGACCAGAGAGACCAGAGACCAGAGACCAGAGAGTTAGGACCAGAGAGACCAGAGACCAGAGAGACCAGAGACCAGAGAGACCAGAGACCAGAGACCAGAGAGACCAGAGAGACCAGAGAGTTAGACCAGAGAGACCAGAGACCAGAGAGACCAGAGAGACAATTTGAACGTCGTTGTCCGACGTAGAATATAGGTCACTGGTGGGTGCAGAATGAAAGTTTTCTCGACGTCGCTTCCCGACGTCACCTCAACCTCCAAATGTTACGTTGATGGCACGTCAATTCAAGGTTTGAATGTGGTACGGAACCGGTCGGGTCTGACGTCCTATCAACGTCTCATATGACCAAAATATTGACGTTTATATGACGTTCGTTTTCAGTCGTTCCCACTAAGCAAGCAGATGTCAAAACAACGTAATTTCAACGTCATCTGGACGTTCATTCAAGGTTGCAATGTGGTACAGAACCGGTCGGGTCCGACGTCCTATCAACGTCTTATATGACCAAAATATTTCATATGACGTTCGTTTTCCGTTGTTCCAACAAAGCAAGCAGATGTCAAAACTATGTCATTTCAACGTCATCTGGACGTTATCTGGACGTTCATTCAAGGTTGCAATGTGGTACAGAACCGGTCGGGTCCGACGTCCTCTCGACGTCTTATATGACCAAAATATTGACGTTTATATGACGTCCATTTACAGTCCTATTGACCTACTTAACCTCTGCAGAATCACTTACTAGTCGAGACATACTTTTTGCAATAGGCAAGGCAAGTTTATTTGTATAGCACAGTCAAAACAAAAGGAAACTCAAAGCACTGAACAAAAGATAGAAACAATCAAACAAGGCATTACAATTATAAATATTGACAGTAAATTAAAAAGAGGTACAAATAAAATCTCTCAGTTGAAGCAGAAACAGAAGTGTTTTAAACCTGGATTTTAACATTGTCAAATAAGAAGCCTGTCTCACATTTCCAGGAAGACCGTTCCAGATTTTAGCCTTGTGAATCTGAAATGCAGCTTTATCATGTTTAGTTCTGACTCTGGGCAATAAACGATAAACACAGCATTCAAAAATCATTAGAACAACTGTAGTAGAAGGATATCAGTCATTATTGCAAATGGAGCTGCATTAAAAATCATGTTTCTCTACATCAAAGTACAAGTTAAAGCACACAGGGCACAGTGTTATGAACACTACTGTACTGAACAGTTCATGCCAAAGTAAAAAAACATGATTGTAGCGCCTATGTTTGGATCAGTATTAAAACAGGCACAAGCTACACTCTAGGTTCCCCAGATGTAAAAACACAATCTGAAAGGCAGAAGAATGCATTTATTGAATGTTGAGGTGTTCCAACATGTGTCCTCTCTTGGTCTTCAGTCTCTCATCACAAGGTCCAAGCACAGCACCTGAAAATGTGGAACATGTTTAGTTTCAACATAATGTGGCAAAGTGATATAACAACACATAACTTTCTATTAATGCCTCAAACCACTCGATCCATCACCATGTGATACAAACCTTGGCACTGCACTAGCTCGAGACACTGGAAGACACTCCGTCTGAGAAACTTGGGATAAGGCTTTGGTCATTGGAGTAATTCCATGTAAAAAACAATTGCAAATGTGCATTTGTTTTGCACATGGACAAATGAGCCCTGAAAGATACTTACCCTGTATTACTCTACACATGTCGCATTTCCGAGGGGGCATTTTCCCCTTGTTGCTCTTTTCCCTCATCTTGAGTGAGTTGCTGAACAATCTGAGAAAAAGATAGATGTTTTCAAAGAGAATACACCAAATCATGGTTTATTCTAAAAACAACATAATAATACAGAAGAACAATCAATGTGTGAGAGTGTGATTCTTACCTTTGAACACTTTCAACACAGTCTGACACCTGTAAGACTCAAACACACATGACACATTAGGAATACACACAGAACATTAGTTATTGCAACAATCATGAAATTATACTCTATGGATTTCACAATAATTGACTGCATTAGCAAAGGTAAATGTATTTTAATTAACATATGGCTGGTTTTAAAGTTTATAAGAAAAAGTAAGAAATTGAATAGAGTTGCAAGCGCTAGTTAGCTTGCTACCAGCAGATGAATGGATATTTAATATTTGCAGCTAACAATAACAAAAATAACAACTGTAGTGGCTCATTTAAACAGCCACAGTGAGAAGAAGTGAAAGTCTCTGACATTGAAGATTTAATGGGAAGATATTAAATCCATTTATTAAACAAAGCAATACATGAACATTAAACTCTCTTTCTGCAGCAGGTAACATCTGTGTGCTCCTATGGTCCCACATGGTCCCACATGGTCCCACACCTGAACTCAACTCCAACTGATGACATCACAGGTGTCTAAATGATGGGAGTGTCCCAAATAAAGCTGATCTCCCTGTTTTTAAACTTAGTTTACTAAGTACTGTTGTCTTTTTGCAGTTTATAAACCATTGTGAAATATACAGTAACTTTACATTTTGGAATTGAATTATTATTTTAAAACTCAAGAATCTTAACCTTTTTTAACACATAGTTTGTTGGACAGTCTAACCTAAGAATTCTAATGTGTTAAAAATAGTTTGAAATATGAAAAACAATATCATATTTTAAACTTTAACTTAACTCACTGACTGCCAGGCAT